TCTCCTTTTCTAATGATTAATTTTTGAATCAATCCGACTGGACCTTTAGTCCTGCCATTCGTTTTCATACCATATTGAGAGCGTCTATCTAATGTTCAATACATACGCGACAAGCCTTGTATCTACCTAGGTAGTTAATTCGATCTGAATCTGATTTGACCCATCCGCTGGCCCCACGACGCCTGGGGACGCTTGGGAGGAGTGCGCCTCGTTCGTTAGCTCACCAAACCACCAAGCTCTATGTTCGTGATATCTAAGCCCACCTACTATATGTCTCTCCTTGCTTGCTTCGTCCCAGCCGCCTTCTTCCCGCTCTCCTAGCCTTCCCTGGTAAGCAAAAACAGACGAATAAGCGAGCAGATCCGGCCCAGCTAATGTAGCTACTATCAGTTGAGAAAGTTCCGGGATCCAGGTATAAACCCGGCTATACGGACATACGCATCTGGAAAGCCAAGACCAGCGGGATATATTCTTTTCTCTCTCCCCCTTCCCTACTTACACGCACGCTCGCTGCCGCTTCCCGGGCCTTCTATGATTAGAGGACCCGACCAGAAATAGCAACTATCCAGTTGGCTTATTTTCTTACCAAACGTGCTGCATCTCGACCCGCGGCGATCCGGCCCTTTATCCCAGCGCTCATTTCCAACTTCTCCCGATCGATACGTAGAATACCTGGCATACCTGGCAGCCGAGTTTCTGGTCTAAGAAAACTATTACCATTGCCTTGTTACGCACCGGTTGACGCGTAAGCCTCAATATGACCAAAGTACAGAAGTCAGACACAGGCCTACCTTCTAGGTCTGACAGCTTCTTGAAAATGCTGGACCTGGAGAAAAGGTACAAGGTATGTCAATTTCTCGGCATGCAACCCTCCTTTTACACCCTTTTTAGACACACCATTTCCCCTTTCTCCGTCTTAACCCCTCCGCTATCCGATGTACCATTAATACGCCGTCTGCTCACGTCTTATAGATGCAACGTATCCAAGGTCATGCCCCCGCGACGATCACATCGCCAAGTACAAGTTCACCCTCCGCCCAGCCAGATAAACCGTTTAAGGCTCGGCGTGCGAGCGGACATCCTCCGCTTTCCCACCAAATCCAGATAATGAAAGCCGTACGGCGGAGCTCTGCTCTCCCTTCGCTTTCGATATCTATACCTCCTTCAGACGAAGACCCCGCCGTGACGACGAATGGACCTCCCGGAGACCTACAACCGAAAAAGGAGGAGCGCACTAAAACGGTGACATTCTCGGGTCCCGAGGCAGAGGACGACGGCGATTCTTCTGACCAGTCTTCCATCTGCCAATCACCTAGTTGGGAACAGTACGGACGGAAGAAAAAGAAGAAGCCCAAGAAGCAGGACGTGGACGCGGGCAAAAAAAGTGAGGAAAAATCCGCGAACACTCTGAAGAAAAAGGGAAACAAGCTGAGCAAGGTTCCGCCGCCAAACTTTCAAGGGGTCGAGTCTTTGATGACGGCGGACCGCTCACAATCAGCCCCTGAGCTAGACCTCTTTCTTAAATCTAACGCTGCTAAACTAGATACTCCCATTCCAACGCCACCAAACGAAATGGCCAACCAAAAACTTGACAGCAGGCCGAAGAGCAAAGGCTTCTTATCTGGGTTCCGATTACAACATGGGAATGTCGCAGCTGTCCAGAAAATCCTTGATGGCCAGCGAACGAGCAGCGATGAAAACCATTCCGGAGGGTCACATATGTTGAAACCTCAAAACGCCGCCCCAGTAGATTCTAACTTTATAAATCCTCGAAAGCCTCCTTCGATTGGGTCGGCCGTCTCGACTTCAACTCGCTCCATTTCTTCTCTGGACCAACTTCCGTCAAGCGCTCGGAATTCATCCGGTTCAAGCCATGGTCGTTCACAATCATTACTCTCGTCCACCTTAAATAAGCTGAAAGGTCCATCCTATCTCTACTATCGCCCCCCCGAAATGTCCAATGGCATCCAATTCAAGCGCCCGAGCAGCTCCCACGAACCGGACATTACTACCAGCTGGTTGGACGACAAGCCTTCAAAACGACCCGTGGTGCAACAGCCAAAACGCCCTAAAGAGAGCCCATTGAAATCGGTAGAGCCTACCCAAAAACTTCCTGAGTTTTCGTTTCCGCCAAAACCCCAACATACTACTACTCAACCTACGGTAGAAGTCATGGCTCGTAGCACTCGACCTCAAGCACGAATAGAGGATCCGGGAGACGCTGGTAACGGATACGAGACACCAGAGCCTAACTCATACCGCGGTCGTCGTATTCAAACGCCACAGAATCGCGTGCCGAGTCGAGAAGTAGCTATGGAGAGAGAGAGGCGATCTCGACCCGAGCGTGCACCTCGGGCCCCAAGGCAGCCGGTCGAATACGTAGAGAATAATGAAGATATACCTCAACAGGCTGAGCAGCTTCGTCGAAGACTCGAGTCGAAGTACCACATCAAGCAACAGATGAATGGATATGTGCAGCCGCAAGTAGAAAGTTGGGTGGAGTCTGAGCACAGTCCGGGGCTGGGGCCGTCTAGCCAGCAAGAATCCACAAATATCGACAATGAAAAACTCAGCCACGCAGAGCTTAGCTTCAGTAGGGACGAAGAAGATGATAGGGGATCTATCGGCACCCATGCATCAACGATTCGACCAGTTTCTCGAAGACAAGGACGTAGTTCCCCTCCGACGGACGGGAGGAAGCACGTCACTTTCCCATCCAACCCAAACACGATCGGGAGAGCTGTCACGTCTGGTTCGGCCGACGAAGAAGTGCGAGTACCTGTCACGGAGCCACCAAAACCAAATAAGTCGGCCGAAGTAGGGGAGGTCATACCGGCAGGAAAACCGCCAAGGCTAGACAGATCCGCCGATTACTTCACCTTCGTCAATCAGTCATATGCTCCTCCCTCTCTAGAGCTACGGTCGCCAAATGATGGTAAATTCCCATCGCCGCGAATCGACGAAGAACCCGAAGAAGAGGATGACTTAGATCATATATTACAGCATATTCCGGTTAGGAATGGCAACGAAGTTGCCTCGCCGTCCGAATACCCAAGTCAAACTACTATGTCAAGTTCGAACGTCACTAGTAGGATTATAAGACAAAAGCCAGCTAAGGACTCACCTTCTCTCTCTTCTCATTATTCCGATAGCGATGTACCAGCACTCGAACGCCTAGGCATATCGCCGAAAGCCGCAAGGATTCTCGCCGGGGTAGAAACATCCAGCACATCGACTTCTCAATCAAATACGGATCCCAGTAGGACCAACTCAGAGAGGTCGTCATCTTCCACATGCGACGATACTCCTCCGTCGCCGGTCATTGAACCGACACCTGACAGTTCTCGAGTGCGGGCGCAAAAAGAGCTTGCGATCCCCCGGGCGGACGTTCATGACAGGGCTCCGCGAAGGACCTACCGACCCCCAGCTGTGGAGTTGCCTTCGAAAAACACCTCGCGGTCTACTAGTAGAGATGTAGTCGGCCAGGATGATAGCTGGAGCCGAACAGCATTGCCAATAGATCTTGAAAATGATTCCGTTGCCGCATCCAAGTTGAACGGTCTAACATCCAGCCCGCACCTAGTGCCAAGCCCTACCTCAGCCTCTTTTACAGAGGACATCAGGGAAACTCCAGACGAGGACGAACTTACGGATAGGAACCCGGACCAACATTCCTTGCCGCCTAGGGCTCAATCTGCTCTTGACGTCCATCCAACGAATTTCTTGCCGGATTTAAGGCATCAGTCTCTACAACAGAAGAGAATGAAAGATATTACAATATCAGCCAGTCTACCTAACACGCCACCGCCGGAAATAGCCGACGGGGCTCCTCGAAAATCCGCGTTGAGAACGTCTCGCAAGAATAGTGCTAACAGCGATGAAACTTCTACCGTAGTCTCTCCTGGTGCCGCTTACCTCCAAGAGGCCCGAAAGGCCGCACCGATTCCGCCCAATTCTACTTCCCGGGCGTTGCGACCGCACTACGCGCATAAAAACTCGTCCACTAATATCAAAAGCGCCGGGGCTTCGGATGGCCGATCGGAACCTCTCGCTAAAATGTTAGTTGAATGCTGTAGTTGCAAGTTCTTTCACGATATGCCCTCGAGGGTGTACGAATGCATGGCTAAGCCCGACTCGCTTGTCGAAGACAAATTGCTTGGTGTTTCGGCTACCATCACCACGATGGTCAAGTGCCCGTGGTGCGGGCATGGCATGAGTACACAGTGCTGTTCCGGCTATGCCGCAGTGGTCTACCTTAAGGAAAAGCTCCACGGAAAATAAGAAGGGTGATGGAGTGTCCCATTAGACTTCCACAAAGGTCTCAGGGATGTGTTATAACTACCGAGTACAAGTTCAAGTCGGTCCTTGAAAATGTCGGGGAACTAAATTCTCTTTCCGGTTTTCTTTGTAACTGGCCAATAAGTTAGCATCTGTCTGCTTTGCATATTTCTTTAGCCGAAGCGTATTAAGCTCGTCTTAAAGATTCCATCCTATGTTGCATTATCATAATCAGCTTCGGAGTAAGATGGCTGAAAAAAGTTTTGGGAGGTTTAATTTTTCCTGTTTCTATGATCGAATGATATCGCCTTGTGCTTCGCGCTGGGGGCCAAGAGCAAGGTCAACCTGGGCTCGCGATACACGTTATTCTATAAATCTGTATACTAGATGAGCGAGCACACAAGAAAAAGCATTGAGCCGATAGGGGCGCGAATATAAGCACTATAGGAGCAGGTAATATACAGTATTAGTCCAGTGACATACATACCCCTGGCCCAAGAATACGGAACGGTATGTTTATAAGATCTTCTGTGTATATGATAGGGGTCAACGAGATGCCGACCAAGTCTTATATATAAGCTCCGTTAAGAGATGGCCATGGAAGTATTCCTAGCTTCTATATCAAGCTTCCAACCATGGCTACTCTATATCTTCAGCTAACCGCACCAGATTCTTACCCTCATACAACCAAGGTCTTTACAATAAATCCCCGGTCTCATCCCCTTCCCTTTCGCAACCGTACACCACACCAAACCACAAAATAAAGCACCAACTTTCACCCTTCGTACGGGGTGTTGGTAGCTGTGATACACAGACTGTGGCCGAGACCCAGGTTCACCATAAACCAGTAGAATCACCACAGTACACCCGCTGCATCAACATTACCTATATCCTAGGGTATAATATCCCGCAAGCACGATAGTTATAAAGTTAATAGTAATTGATTACGCAGCAACAACAAAAAAGTACGTTCTAACCATTCCCTAACGTAGGCCTAGCCTAATTCATTAACTAAGCAAGACTATTCCCAGCACTAACTCTCGACACTTAACTCTAACTCTGCGCCCATGTCTCTTTATTCTCCTCGACAAAGTCTCTGAACCTCCGAGGCTCCCGCCCCGTCGTCGCGCGTACGGCGTCGCTGGTGAGCTCCTCGGACCCGTGGCGTACCGCCGTGTCCATCGACGCTAGGACCGCTGCGTATTCGGCTGGTAGGCCGACGCGGGCCCAGCGCTCGACGAGCTGGGGCTCGGTGAGGTCGACATGGGTGATTTTGCGGCCGAGGACGGAGGAGAAGATTTCTGCGAGCTATTTTGGGGGTCAGTACCTATCGGTGGTAAAGATGTAGGTAGGGTAGGGCAGCGGAAAGGGAAGGAAAGGAAAGGGAGGATAAAGGGAAAAGGAAAGGAGTGCTTACGTCGGAGTATGTGAGAAGTTCTGGGCCGAGGATGTAGTGGTCAGTGTTGGGGGCTTTGGGAGCCGTCAGGAAATGGAAGCCGACGGCGGCGATGTCGTTGGCTGAGATCCAGGGGATGAGGCCGGATCCGGTGGAGGAATATATCTTGTTCTCCTTCTTGAGGGCTGAGAGGTGGTGCTCTGATAGGAAGTTTTCTGGGCGTGTTGGTCAGCTATAGTTCTCATATATAAAGGGGCGCAGGACAGGGGGAGTAGTATGTAAGAGGTAAGTAAAGAGACGGCGATATTTACCTTGGAACCAAGTCGGACGCAGCACACCCCACTCGATCTTACCCGCCTCGCCAAGCTCACGCAGGTACGTGTGCACCTTGCCTACCAGCGGTCCTCCCTCTGCGACTAGACTAGCGCTCAGCAGTATGAAGCGCGGGACGCCCTTGGAGAGCGCGAGATCCACGAACTTCTTTATGGCATCCTGGGCTTCTGCGCGAGGCGCAACGAGGTGGATGGCCGAGATGGGAGTCGAGAAGATGGGCTCCCAAGTCGATTCGTCTTCCCAGTCGAACTTGACGCCCGCGTAGCCGTTAGGGGCACTCCCGGATCGCGACGCGACTAGGAAGGGGACCCCGGCGGCGTGGAGCAGCGGCGCGATGCGGCTACCAACTTTTCCTGTGCCGCCGAGCAGCAGAACGGAGCCGGATTGGGTAGTCGACGAAGACATGGTATGGTATGGTTCTTGGTGGGGTTTTTTGAGACAGAGAGTGATTATAAGTGGACGTGTTGGGAAATAAGACGGAAGTAATATGGAACATGAAAATACTGCATCACCAACAACATCATATCACCGTCGTCTTATAGAATAATATAATGCGTGAGGACGCTAGGTAGATATCTGCTAACGATAGCGGGTCATCTTCTTAGTCTACGGCGCGGACCACGATCGTATGTCCATGGTTAAGGCAGCCAATCAGCATATGTAAAGCGCCTGTCTCTATTCCGTAATCAATAGACCAAATTACACCGTCTCCGGTCCCCATCCGGGGTTAGAGGATATACGCGGCAGATGACGGTTGAATAATCCCGCCGATAGCCACGGGGTTAACGCTGGAGCCGGGAATGTTGGTGATAGTTGCATCCTGTGGAGAGTTTTGACAATTTGCTCTAACCGATACAGGTCTCGTAGCGATATGTTCCAAGTAGTCGATTTTTAGTTATATACTCTAGAAAATAGTATAAATAACGATCTTTATCCGCTCTTGATACTTACGAGATGCTTGGCATTCCAAGTTACAAGTTCAAACGTAGTAATACATCCATCCATCGCCAACCAGGAAAAAGCAAAGAAAACTCGCAACAATGGCCGCCGCCCAATACGACATCCAGACGTTCTTATTGGACAAGCAAAACATCCACGACACGGTCGCTCGCCTCGTAAGTGCCTGCTTACTTTACAGCCTTTAATAATCTTTAGTAATATTCAAGCACGCAATGTTCTAATAATAATTTCCTTAATAAGACATTAAACCTAGACCTGCGTTCAACCGACGGCCTCATCAAAGACGTCTACGCTCCCGACGTCGTCGTCGACTACACGTCCATGTTCGGCGGGAAGCCGACTGAGGCGACCAACGAGGCGTGGGCTAAGAGCCTCGAGCCAATGATGGACGCTTTCGACTCGATGCAGCATGTGGTCACGTAGGACATCCATCCCCTTGGCATACCTATCACAATATCGGAGACTTTTTTTTTCCTTTTCTTCTTAGAAATCAGAATTAACGCCGATGGGCTGTAGGAACGAGGTCATCGAGCTGCCGCAGCCGACGAAGGGAGTCAGCAGGCCCGACAGGGCTAGCGTCGTTGCTCAGGTCAATGGACATATGTTCCGCCGCGCGGCGAGAGGGAAACCAATTATGCATAACGGCGTGAGTACATAACATCATCTTTTGCTCGTATATTTATTTCGGTGTTTAGATTATATTCTAGCTCGGAATAACCTACCTGGGACTCATCAGAAGCTAATAGTAGGACGAATATCAGGGCCGATATAATCTCGAGCTCGTGCGACTCCCGGAGCTCGAGCAGAAGGGAGAAAACCCGTGGAGAATCAGCAGGCACGCTACTGTTATCGGATGGGAAGACGGTAGCTCGGATGTTATGAGTGTTTTTGCTGGTATTGGACATTAGATTGAGCAGTCTGGTTACGGGCAGTAAGGGATGAGATGAGATGAGGCCTTGATGGGGTAGACGTTGCAATGTGAGGTTAGCTTCCCCCTGGGAACTAATTTATAACAATATATTATACAGTGTGGTAGAAAACTATATATCAACAGAGGACCGTCCCTAGCTGTATTGTTTTGGACTCATCAAGCGGATTTATGACACACGAGCTTCTCGCCGAGACCCATTGAAGGTATCTAATCAACCCAGGTATACTTTTACGAGAATTGACTATAAACTAAATTGCCTTAGCTACTGCCTGGTTCTTTCTATAGACACGTTTTGCTACAATGGAGCGTTAATATGCACTATTCGTTTTCAATCCATATCTCCCCCAGAGAAATCTGTCTTCGCAGTCGCTATGAAGCATAACGTCAAATATAACTATTTTCCTGTCCGTAGGCCAGTTCCCCCTATTTTCCTATTAACAGGGGGGCTATTCACGGCGGATAGATAATACACTTATTCTTTCCTCCAAGGTAACACATGAGCTCTTCTGCACGATCACGATGCCAACAGCATAGGACCCAGCGTCATTCACCCAAGAGACGAAGACATACTATTCCTTGATATAAGAGGCAAAATTGTCAATACCTAGGTCAGAAAGCTCATCCTCTCGGATCATAAGTCATTATACCCAATACACACCTTCATTCCCCGACTGGCTTTCACCCCCCAAACCCAAGCACGTCCAGCCTCACCCGTATACAAGCCCGCAAAACTGTCGTCCCGCCCAGCCCTACGCATCCAGCCTACCTTCTCCATGGATTCGGTATCCATGAACGCCAAAAAGTGCTCAAACTTCTCTTCTCCAGCGCCACCCGTCGCCAGCGCAAGCGCATTGCCAGCAATACCATGGCACAGACACGGCTCCTTCACTAACAACCCGCGCTCCCATGTATCCGCCACAGCAAGCTCAACCGCGCGCCTAATCCGCCGCTTCAGCGCCGGGAAGTGCGGCCCCAGAGAACAAAGGGATATGACGAACCCGGGCCCTCCGTGGCAGAACTGGACCAGCCGATCGGACTCGGAGCCCGCGGACGAGGGAAAATTCCCGCTGGGAAGTTGCGTAGCCAGGAGATCGGATAGGACGCCCTCCAGCTCAGGCGCGATACCCGGCTGCGAGAGAACAAGCTGGCAAATAATACCAATGGCCCCATGAGCAGCGCCGAAATACTCCTTCCCGTGCCAGGACCAAGGCCGCGGCGCGGAGAGGATGCGGGAGACAGTGTTAGAGATAGTAGCGTCGAGAAGCGCAGCAGTGCTATCCTCTCCGACCCCGGCCCCGAACGCCGTCCGGCATAGCCTAAGGAAGTAAAGATACCCAGCGCGTCCATACATCCACTCATCCGACCCGCCGACCTCATTGCCATTAATCAGGCCCTCAAAAGCGCAAAGCTGCTTCGCAAGCCCGCCATCGCCTCGCATAACAGCCGACAGCGCCAGGTGCGCCAGCGTCTCGCTCGCAATCCCGCAATGGTCCGGATCCGGCGTATTTTTCTCGAGTCTAGCACCTAGGGCGAGATACGCCTCGGCCCAGTCGAATAGCGATTGCTGCTTGTGCGCTTTTCGGGGGAAGATGCGGGATAGCTTGAAGAAGAGATATGCGATGGAGGTAGGGCCGCCGTAGAACCCTTGGAACGACCAGCCGGTGGAGCAGGTGTGGACTGGAGGGTGGTGGGTTGTGATGCGGTCGAGACTTGCTTCGAGCTCTGCGGATGCGTCTACGGTCCGGAGGGGGGTGGATGGGTTGGAGAAGAAGCGGGTTGAAGAGGACATTTTGATTTATGAATCGAAGTAGGTAGGTACTGTCGATCGGATGGACTAGGGGGTGTGAGCCTTGAGGAATGGTATAATGTTTTGAATTATGAGTGTTTATGATGTACTACGTTGGTCCCCAGTCAGACTGTGTAAGTTCAAAACAGCGAGTATAAGCTTAATCTCCCCATCCCGATATAATAATGCTAACAAGCCAATCTCAGAACAGCCAATACATGAGATAGCGTTCCTGCTGTAGATTACAACTGACCTAAACATGTCAAGAGGGTGACGTCATCAAGGAGTAATAAGCAATATGTTAGTTGGGCGATAGGAAGCTACTTATATTAGGTCCATAAGGACGAGATCATTAGGTAATCTCCGATAGCAGTGCTGTCTGAACATTACTTAAGGTAAGTGTACCTTAAGAGGTTCGGCCATTCCTCACATATCATATATACAAAGTCACCACCATTTGGATATTTCATATTTCTGCAATTTTCCTAGTACCTAGTAAACCTACTCTACAGTCTCGGCCAAGCGGCCTATTCTGCGCCATTAGCTTCATAAACCTTGGCGCGTAGATACCATCCGTAAGGCATGCCGTTTCGTATCATACAAGTCCCCTCTCCCCTACTATCCTAAGCTCCAGCTTCGACAGCGAATGCGTATCTCGGCATCTGTGCCATCCGCTCCTCCGGACTAAGGTCATCGTCATATATCATCTTGACATTCTTGTCCTTATCCTTCTTAGACTTCTTCTCTCCTCCCTCGGCTGGCTCCGCAGTTGTTGGGGTCTCGGGTTTCTTCGGAGGCTTGATTCTAGCTTCGGCCATCCTGATCAGCTGGTCGATCTCATCGCCTTCCTGCGCAGCACCCGACACCAGTTCATCAATAGTGGAAGCACTTCCTTGCCAGCCGGGCTGTCCAGGACGAGCGGGTAATCCATGAGGCGCGGGAAGGTTACTACCGGGCCGCGACGGTAGGTTCGGTGGAGGATATGCGCCGGGATATTGCGGAGGGGGTGAGTAACCAGGAACGGGCTGTGCGGGAAATGCTGGGTATTGACCACCAGGAGGAGGGAAGGGTGAGTTCTGTTCAATTTAGTTAGTACACGTTCGATGAGGATTGAATTAGCAACATTGGAGCACATACAAATGCGCCTGGGGACGCGCTCTGCGCAGGACTTTGACCGTCAGGCCTGCTCTCCCGAGGAGTATGACCTGCACTGCCACCACCAATAGCCGTTTTCTGAGCGGCAAGTCTCGCACGGTGCTCTGCTAGCCGCTTCTTGATCTCGTCTGGAGTTTCAATCTTAAGTTTCTTAGCCGGGCCGTTCCCGTTCTGACCAGGTGGAGGATTTCCCGTAGCGGCGTATCGGTCGGCTTGGGCCTGGTAGAAATTCTGAATAATTCGCTGGTTGTGTTGTTGGACAATGTCTTCCGGGATACCCTCCATACCGAAGATTTCGACATCGAGACCTTGCCGATTCGGTAATGCGTTCTCGACTGACGATAGCGTTTCTTTGTGCACCTGATTCATATGAACCGAAAGACCTTTATTACGTAGAAGTTAGCTATCATAGCGCATCAGGCGAGGATTAAGCAGACGGAAAATTCTTTACCTCCAGCTGTATTCAATCGTCGACCACATCGGTCACACTTGAAATGTTTGGCTTTTTGGTGAGATATCAACAATTTGAGATCTTCAAAATCTCTTTCGCCTAGCAGGATTGTTAGCTATCTCTTTGGAAGGGGGGAAGCTAGAGGTGGTAGAGCATACAATAATAACACCAAGCTCGGGAGAGGAGCTCCTCGACATCGGGGTGACCGCGCTTCTTCTTTCCCATGGCTGCGAAGTTGAAAGGTCGTTATTTGAAGACAGAAAATAAGAATTGTGTCCCTCAATTACTAAGATCAAATTCGATATTGAATTGATGGCTAGGTTGCCGTCGCGACGATATCTTAGGTAGTAAAGGCGGTAGTTGTCGTCGCGCAAAGTTAAACGAGGAACGTAGCGCGAAGAGTAGCACTCAAGGGACGTGATTCAATTGGCTAACCTCCTAAGCTTCAGCCATATGAATCACCAAGTATCGACGTATTGTGGCTAGTGCGATAAGCTGTGGCTGGGTTAGGTATCCACATACCCGCTTAGGTACCTAGGTACAATACTACTAAGATTTGTCAGCATGTCCACTTACATCAGACGTCCCTTTGCAGCCAGCTTCTAGTCCTACATGCGAACCGTCATCCCCCTCTTCCATTCAAGTATGAGGTAAACCTCTTATTCTTGGTTTAGGGAAAAATATTTCAAAATTTAAATTCTGCTTCAAAGAACAATTCTCACCACCTACCAGGACATAGCGTGACCAGTGTCATAGCAGCACTAAAAAATATACACTTTTAGACGTATCAGCACCTGCTTACCCTTAACTTAGTTACTCTAGGCACCCATACTCATTCCAAGGATTCTTTCGGTGAACTCCATGTCAAAGAAGCGTCTGCTATACACTAGTTGGCCTTATTTACTAGGCCACCTTTGATGCTGATTCCCCGACGTCCTTTAGGACATTCTCAATCTCTCCCTAACATCTTACTATATAGCTCCTAACCCCTTATAGCCAGATTTACCTTTCGATTTGAGGATTCATTTAAAAGACTTCCAAGGAGTCTAGATGGTATAACTAAAGCGGTACTAACGATGTGTCGTACTTGTATCCAGTTTTTCAGACGCAGCCAGCAATACTAGGCGGGAGAAAAAGAAACCAGTCCAAGAGGGAACGACTGCGAAGAGAAAAAGGAAAAGAAAAGTGCTGTCCCAAGTAAATAGGTGTGTAGTCTTATGGCAACGGCCACTACTGTGGTTCTCAAGCACAAGTACTTAAACCGCCCTCGAAAGTGACAACCGAACCCTCAGCAGCAGGTCGCAACGGCACTGGCCAGTCCAGCGTCCCAGATCTGAAACCAGTCCAATTGCGGACTGGTTGATCAATTCTTGGGGAGAACCCGGGTTCGAACCCTAGAGCTCGAGGTTCTCGTTTATGCCCATCCCCCAGAATCCCACGGCTACACCTCAGCCACTGCGCCATCTCGTGCAAGAGTTTTCCTTGTGAAAATTATCTATACGCTTAAGTTGGGCAGTTGCTAGGTACATACATAGGTACAGGACACTTGGCAACGGGGTGGTCAAAGTTCTGCCGGGCTATATGTGCCTAAGGTATCTAATTTACATAAATGGAAGCGTGCACGTCTAATACCTTAGGTACCTAGCTGCCCCCTAGGTGCTGATACCGCTTTTCCGCCTGTATGCCCATACTTTTTCTGAACTGTATAATTTGTTGGTGTGTTTTCGAAACTATTCGTCTTCTATGTATAGGAGCTATTAGTAACCCGAAGTCATTAAAACTCTTAGTTCATTCTAGTTGCTGTCTTAAACCATTGTGAGACGAAAAGATGCCCTAGGACACTATCCGGGTTCAAGACCGTCCGTATGAACAATACTAAAATCTCAAACCCCACGCGGATATTCACCATCGAGGAAAGGCGAGGTACATCCTTCGAGTTGCACCAAGAGGTAAGAAGTCAAAGAAGCACACCTATAGAGGATTTTAATACGATATGTTCTGTTGCTCGGCGGCACCACGCCGGGCTTTCGTACGACTATCAGGTACAATAAGTAGCCTGCAGAAAAGACGATAGCCAAAAATGAGCTTCGCTGAGCGGAATATACGGATTTCCCGAGCGCCGGGAATTAGGCCTCCCTTCGTGGGGGTCGCTCTGGCAGTCGGGGATGCCTGTGCGTGGTGACGGATGATGTGAGCGGTGGCAAGATGCTGTGCCAAGCCCATGGATGAGAAGAAAAAAGAGCCGCGATGAACCAGATTGGACCAATGAAGCTCCTAGTGCTCACAGGAAGTTTCACGAGAAGCATAGAGCCGTTACTATTCTGTGTCTGTACTACCAACTAGAGCCAAACAAAACACTTGCAAATCAAATAGTTCACAATTGGTTGGTTCCAAATTATAGACTTGAGCTACACTAGGAAATGCGGCTCAAATGAGAAAAGTTTCCCGATTCCCCAAAATTGCGTGGGTTGGTGGGCGTTGGGCGTTATTGTGTCGCTGAAAGCTGAGTAACGCACCACAGCCAAGTAACATATTACAACAGCCCATGCGATCTTGCAGCGTAAACCATGTGGCAGCTCGATCTCATTGGATTCAAAACAATCGTTGGGATCCTTGGGCTTGGGGCAAGTATTGTTTGCTTAGGGCACATCCAACAAGATGTTCGAAATAAGAACGAAATAACCTACACATAGCAATGTCTCACATACAGCGCATGCTACAGGTAGAAATTGAAGAGAAAACATGCTACTCTGCGCGACGCTTGGCTTTCTTGGGCCGTACTTTGGGCTTTAATAACCGACAACCTAGTTGCAGGTTTATTGAATCGTACAGATACTCAGCTTGAGTATTGTCATACAGAGTCGCGTCATGGAGCTCCGTCGTTCTCGGTACGTACTCCAGATCATTCCACATTCTTTCGATGGAGAGCGCATGAGAGCTATGTCGAATCTAAGTTTACGCTCTCATTGGAAGCCAAGGGGCGAATAGCATATTAGGCCGTATGAGTGGTGTACGTGATGTGTGAGCATGATAAGTTTGAAACCTCCATACATGACGTGGGGTTTGACTTAGGAAAGCACAAGCTTACCTTTTGATTCATCTACCTAAGTGGCACGTTTCTAAGCCCTTGCATCCTCAAGGTGACCTCTGCTGGTACTGCTAAACAGGATATGGGTGGTGGGTAATGGATTGCCATTACCGTTCAACGTCTCTTAACCCCAAAGAGACGGAATGTACGTATTATTACGACAGGAACGAATCGGAAAGATACCGAACGTGGATGCAAGCGTCCTTATCGGGATAGGCACACGACGTGTCAAGTATTACATGTTTCATCGTTCAAACCCTCGACTTGGATAGAGGAAGCACATTGTGTTAGGTTCGGATATATCTGCTGCGCGACAACAGACTTATCGACAATGCGGTGGTGAAACGGCTGGACAGCCGGTAGGGAAAATTGCAACTTCAAGTTTGTCTAATGCATTTATGCATTGAGGAATACCGGAAGATGGAGTGGGAAGCGTTGTAGGAAATATATCCAAGTTTAACCATCGTTGATGGATGCCTCGACGGTAGGATTTCGGGGTCAGGCGTATTTTATACAGAGTGGGTGATGAGGAAACGTAGAGATACGAACCGCAAACATGAGAAAGTGAGTGCGACAAACGCATGAGTAGAAGGGGTCGTGACATATATTGGCAACTGGAAATCAAAGCGACCCATCATGAAAGCATACGAGAACGCGAACATCGGGCACGAATTCAAGCGACAAGAGTGTGACACCTTTAGGACTTACAGGGTTTGGGGCTTGGTCCTTAGTCTCTAGTCCTCTGAATAGGAAATAGGAAGCCTTGTATAAGGCAACCTAGGCGAGCCATAACCCGCTGCCTAGTAGTATAACACGTGATCTGTAGGACTTGATCAGCGGGAGCCGCCCTTCAGGTACGCGTTGATGTTAGGGTGTTTTTTACCTCCATCTAGTGAATAGAGTCGAATAGGAGATGCGTAACGAGATGCGTGGTAGTTGTACCGCAATATCTGATTGGTTGTAAGTAGACCCTCCTACCGGACCTGGTTGAACCTGATTGAACCTGATTGGACCATGACGAAGGGGACCAGGGGTGAGTGTGCCGTACTGCCTCGACATCTCTACATAAAAGCCCACCTTCTCCTCTACCCTCCTCTTCATTTTCCCCCCTCCCATAACCAATTTACCAATCGCCGTCAAAAACGGGCCATAAAGTATAAAGTATAAAACTCATCGCGTCCAATCTAAACCGAGACCGAAAACCCTATTCCAAGCAACACAACGGTACTATAACCACTAGAACGTGTTAGTTTAGTCTCACATAGTACCGTCGATGTTCCTCTTATTGGTTAGTATCCCAGATAGTTGCCATAATTTAACAACCCGCCACCCAAGTTCCCAAACAGCTTTTTACATCCTGGGCGACTTCGTTGGTTTTCCGCGTGATCAGAGAGCTGCCTGGAATTCACGTAGGACTCGACCATCGACGCTGTTCAGGGTGTAGCCCATCATAATCCGACAAGCGATAGATGATATGGCGCCTCAGAATCCTCCATCTTCCCACCAAGAGTCTAGGTCTACGCATACCCGACCATATGTCTATCGACCCCTAAGTGATGGATATGAGGGGATATCGCATAAGCGCGACCGGGATTCCGTCGATGGAAATCAGCATCATCAGTTGGCGATGACTGTAAGATAAGCAGTCAACTCGATACTCGTACACTGGGCGCATACTCATTGAAAATAGAGTCATGATCATGAATACTCGCGGTTTGATGCTAAATCATCACGCCGCACTCATTCCGTTTCTTCGGAGAGTCGACGGGACTGTAAAAGGGTATCACGGGATACTTATCGGGATCAAGATGCAGTCGCCTCGAGTAGCACGCATGGTCATGCTCATCACATGAACAATCATACTATGCCAATGACTTCTAAGAATAAAGAGGTCTCCGATGAGAGTAGGCATCAAGCCAGCCATAAAGATAAGCATCAGATACCAGTGCCGCCAAAAGCTCCCAAGATCACAAGGCTCCCGACCCCAGATTTTGACGATATAGGCCATAGTGAATATGATATGTCAAATCATCAATTCTGCGAATGTTGCGGGGATGATGGTAGTTCTTGTACCACGGCGAAGATCGAAAAACGAGGTATGTCTCTCTCATCCCATTGCCAGGCCGATCGTCGGCTATCTCCGCAATTACTTCGTCCGAATTCGGTATGCTAACAAGCCTTAGTAAATCCTTAAGTAAACTTAAGGCATTGGAGGCAAAAGCGTATATGGCATATAAGGACTCACTTACTCGCTAGAAGGATTTTCTAGTTTGTCCTCGGTATGAGACAACCTAGCCAATAGCCGCGTGAAAATGCTATACAGAAGCTAATATCTAGTTCAGGCGATAGGAAGCCAATGCTTTGGTCGATCCAACTCGGGGTGTAATCGCGGCTGGTAGTCAGTTTCACTAACTGCGAACGTTCTCATACGTCTGACCACAGCCCCGCGGTCTGTCCACGTCGGGTTTTCAATAATCATGTACATTATTCCCATTGTTATCAGTCGTTCGGGGCTCAATCCCACTATCGTAAGTTGCAAGAATCCTGGACTTTGCAATTAACGTCAAATATTTATTTCCATATGCTGTGTAGGCAGTGAAGTGTAAGACGGAACGATAAGATGAGGTCTAGTTGGGGTTGCATTTTGTCTGGACTGTGGCTAGTGCGGCTAAATTTAGTAGCCACCGCCACAACTATTCCTATCCTGATGGTGTACCTAGGTACGTACGGAAGTCCCCATCAAAAGTTTTGTCCATACGTGCCACCTGACAGCTTTTGATGCAGCTGTTTGGAACCTGACACCATGCGGCAGCCAAGATTAGAAATGTATATAAAATTTTAGCTTTAATATGCTAATGAAAACATTAAAATTAGATCTATTATAAGTATAAAAGCTTTTTTATACGCTCATATAACTTTTATTATTTAAGGAAAAGATGTTGAGTTATTATGTATAAGCGAAAGTAGTGTATTACCTTGGATAGTATATGCGCTCGATGACCTATAGCTGTTGCCAAGCCCTGTCAAAGCTAGTCAAAAGCTAATAAGGGCTGGCCTACGTATGTATGGACAAAACTTTTGATGGGGACTTCCGTACACTACCTAATGATCTTTACTAATTCAATAAAGGTCAAAATACATAATCTACGTGCATAGTCCTAGGACTATGTTCAGGATATTTGCTATAAAAACCAATAAATGCCAGATAACTACAATTCCTACTGTTTATGTCAACTTTATTATGTCAATTCCATAAACTATCAGCCAAGGGATTAAGCATATTTTCGTACGGCATACGCACGGTTCACGACGAGCAACATCTAGATGAACGAATAAATAAATGAAGCGATATGGGCAGCAGATGTCAACAAGCCTTAAAGTTCTAAGAGTGCCTAATATATAATTTTAGTTGGTAAGAGATATTTTCGAGACGTTCAAATGCATCATCTTATCTCCAAGTCTCGACTAAAATATCTCGCTATTGATTAAGTGCCAACAAGCCTTGGCATTCAATTTTCGTCGTGGAGTTCATGAATATTACTATGAGTAAAGCTCTCCATAGCACAATCATATTGAGGCTATAAGGAACACATCTTTTTCACGTTACCGATGCTTATATTTCAACATTCAAATTACTTATAGGCAGACGATCGTGCTAATATCCTCCCGCGGCTGGGGCTTAGGTACCTACTTCATAAGACTATTCGCCCCTGAGCAAAGGCGCACGACGTCAAAACTCACAGGTCTAGCTTTCGAGCTCAGCTACCAGGGGCCAGAAGAGGCTCCAGTAACTGATGAAGATCATCTGACTATAATATGAAAAGGTCAAGTCGGCTTGCTTGCCTGGCCCAGCCTTGCCCCATCACCCCGCAATACTACCGTACGCCGGGTAATCGTCCAGTCCTGATCCCCCATTCCCGAGAGCCGAATTTCACTCATTTGACCCAGCCAGCACGACATCATTTATACCAACTTCATCGCCTGTCGATATACCCTCGCCCATGTTATTATTCGTGGAATGACGACTCCAAGGCCAAGGAGTGGGGATTTTTGGGTTGCGATCTCACTCTCCGTTTCTACTTACCGGTAGCTCGTAGCTTATAGCATGATTAATCCTGGCTTATATGCTTGTAGCTAGGCGAAATGTTGCGACGCGACTTCGCCTAGCCAAGGTGTCTGAAGAGTATGGCATCTAGTGGAGCCTCCTAAAGATGTATTTATAGAGGAATTCCTCGAAATTTGAATTCTCTTCTACCTTCACTTCAGATCGTCAGAGTCGCCAAATTGATCGGTCTATTCCAGTTCCCCTAGGCAAACCAACTCGTTTCAGACACGATGAGGACACAGAACTCAAAGCAGACGTCTCTGCTCATAGCCCTCGCGGGGCTTAGACCGGCAACAATTCTCCCCATAGGTAACTCATCGTTATCAGTCGAAATTCCCACAGTGTCAGGCGTAAATGCTTCGGATCCAATCGATCCTAGCTTCTGCGGCTTCGCCTTCGAAGAGGCTTCTTTCGTCCGCTACGCCCAAGACGACAACGGCAAGCCTAATGCCTTCTCCCAGAACCTCATCAAGGCCGTCACTTCACGTACCGGCGGGACCCCTATCATCCGACTCGGTGGCACGTCTCCTGACTACGCGAGATATCTCCCTGGCCAAACGGAACCCGCACTGCCTGTCGCTGAGCAAGACAACTACCAGAACGTCGGATTTACGACCATCGGCCCTTCCTACTGGAACTTGACGCACAATTTTCCGGGAGCCAAATACATGGTTCAAGTCCCGTTAGCGACAACCAATATCAGCGAGACGGTTGCCTGGGCCCAGTCCGCAGTAAAGGGCATCGGCCTAGAAAATATCCACTCAATCCAGCCCGGTAACGAGGCGGATCTCTACGCCGACGACTACCGCGGCGAGGGTGGCGTCGAGCTGAACCCACCGGAATACCAAGGCACCCTTAACAACGAGACGTACGTCGGCAACTGGACCAAATACGTCGATGCCATTTTGGCCGCTGTAGAGCTACCGAAAGGTCGCCTATTCACGGCTTTCGACGTCGCGGCGCATATCGGCGATTCCGTGAACGCAGACGCATATGTGTTTGACGTGGAGACGTGCTTCAATCTCGGCATCGACAAGAAGGACATCGTCAAGGATGTCTCGCATCACTACTACCAGCGCAACGCCGGGACCGCAGAGGACCTCGAAAGCGGCCTCATGAACATCACCGTAACGCACAACCACCTAAACCTGTTCAAGCGCCACATCGCATGGCTGAAGAAGACCCACCCTGAGATCCCCTTCATCCTCAACGAGGTCGGCAACTCGCTATTCAGAACCAATTCATACGAGTTCCAAGCCCGCCTCGGAAGTGCCCTGTGGCAAGTCGATTTCTACCTATACAGCATGGCCATCGGCATCGGACGCATCAACTACCAGCAGATAATGCACGCGGGGTACGACCTATGGCTGCCCGTCGCAAGCGCCGGCCACGAAGCCCAAGTTTTCTCGAACTTCTACTCGCAGCCCTTCGTCGCCGACTTCATCGGATCCTCCAACCAGACGAGAGTCGCCAAATTAGACGTCGCAGGTGACAACGGCCCCGCGAACCTAGCCGTTTACGGTGCATACGAAGGCGACGCAGCGAAGAGAATCGCCATTACGAATCTGAATTATTGGAATAAGACGTCTTCGGGTGTCGAGAGGCCTGGTGCCACGCTTGACCTGGCGGTTCCGAAGGGCGTCAAGTCGGTTAAGGTTTACCACTTAAATAGTCCCTTGGGCGCGGGGGCCGCGGCGGATACCATTACGTATGGAGGTAGCCAGTGGACGTATAAGAGTCTTGGAACAGAGGTGAAGAATGTGAGGAATGATACCGAGCAAGTAGCTGTTAAAAATGGGGTTGCGAGGGTTACTGTCCAGGATAGCGAGGCAGCCCTTGTTTGGTTGTAGGCTTCATAGCTTTAGATATCTAATATTTAAGAGTTAATGTGAGGACTTCTGTAGCCGTTTGACTTACGAAGTGAACTACTATTGGACCTTGATTCCGGTTTTAATTTAAGCACATATTATACCCCAGACCGCGTGAAAATTTGTTACTTAACAACTATGAGCCTCCCGGAATTATTATGAGACAAATATGTATGTTCCTTTAGGGGTTACCCCACTAACCCAGGTGTTTTTATCTGAATAACTATGATATAAAATTGAGGCAACTTACAGCTTTATCTGCTGGTTATCTACATTATATTATTTTATGAGAGAGTTGGGGTCATTCCTTTCATAATCTCATTTCTTTTAGGGATATAAACTTAAAGCATTTAACCATTTTCCGAGAGTATCATAAGGATCACCTATCATATTAAACTATGATTATGACTTTAGTTGTACGGATGTATAGAGGACAACTTAATCATTTTTATCATTTTATATATGTCGCCATTTATATTTGTTATCTGCGCTAAGCATAGTATTACTCTCAAATAAAAGTAACTATGATACCAAAGGTCTAGGTAAGTGAACGTCGAACTTACTTTTGATAATATAAGTAGTTATGTAATAGTTGGCGATATTTCATCTTCGTGAAATCAGAATGTCATTTTCAAAAATGAATATCCAAAGTTAAACGGGGTAAGAACTTGGCTTGGCTGAATAGAGGCACTGTTTATATGGAATACTTGGCCAATCCTGTAGGAATAGAATTTGGTCAGGGCGGGGCATCCCGAGTCGTGATCCGTCTTACGTCTTTTAAAGGCCCATGACATTATTGTTATATAATCTCAGCCTCAGTAGCATGCAAAAAAGTAGTATTCCAATATTATGTCTTATTAATGACGAACACAACGGCAGGCAAAACGACTCCTGGTTGGGTGAGATGCTGACACGAGGCTTGGAGATTTTAGCCTGTCATAAGACCTACAGAGAACTGTAGAAGTCAGTTTCTTAACTCCCGCTCCAATTATGACGGCGATACCGTACGCGTAATATCGACAGCAGAGTCTGATTGGCCAACTTTGAGACGGCAAATTAGTAATCTTCTTGTGAGGCAACCTGTAGCATCCAAAATTTAATCTCCAGGGTCCAAGTTACGTCATAAACGCATGACGTAATAACAGTGAAGAGATATTATAAACAAAGATGGTGTAAATGCTGTCAGTAATCACTTTTGGTTGTTACAATGAGACTCAATACAGAAAATTTGGAGTGAAGGTAGTTTAAAATATACTAAGCACGGAGTATGTTATTGCTGAACGGTTGTCTAAGCGGCGTTATCAGAGCCCACATAAGACTGCTCGGTTGCACATTCAACTCTGGTGGACCAAGGCCGAACCACGGGGAGAGATGCTGGTTAGACGATGTGAAATATTGCTAGTAGTGTAACCTCAAGCCTGCTTTCTAGGGGCCAAAGCAACAGATGTACTTTAGCGATGTAGGATTCCACGCTCTCCGGGTCTCTACACGTGCGTGAGTACTTATCAAGTGTTGGAGATGTAGAAAAAACCGGCTCGACCGTAGCCTCCGCCAAAGGGACTAAGGGCCTGCCTGCACTGAGGAGGAGCGCTTCTTCCCTTTGGGTCTGGACTACCGGCCTCTAATTTGCGGATAAGACTCATCCCGTAGGTTAGTCAGGACTACCTTTTATTAATCATAGCGCCTATGACGGTTTGGCCGCTGACCCGGCTCGACCCGTAACCAATAGGCAATGTTTGCTACTGTAACCAATCTGAAGAGATGCGATCTGACTGACGTATGCGGCCCCCCCCCCGCGCGAGACTAGCTGATACTACACCACCGAAGATCAGCATGAATAATATCAATAAAAGAGAAAGGTTAAGAATCCTAATGATGTACGAGATGCTACAGGACGGAAGGTATGGAGCACATCGAAGTTGAAGGGGTAATAGTGTCGTTTCAAGGAATGTCGCACAACAGCTGCATTATTGGGCTGGTTTCGGTCAGAAAAAAATGGTTATTTGGGATAGATGTATTTACCTTAGGTACCTACTTTAAATAATACTAAGTGGTTGTGTTACATAGTACCTAAGTGAAGGATGTTTTTAAAGTCTACCTAAGCTTCCTTTGTTGGTTAGTCGTATCGAATATGTGAGATTTGTTTTTTTTTATGAGGCTCTAAGGTTGAGGATGGCCAAGGCTGAACGGGATAAGTACAATGTTGTTGAAGATTGACGCCCAATAATTTCTATATCAAATAGCCTTGCAGATAGCAATCAGCTCGTTAAAATCTAAGTCGATGCGTAATCGGACGCTATAATGCAAAGCCCGTCAGCTATATTGAAGCGTTTGAGCCGTTATTGGCCCAACCGTAGATCTGCCAAGAGAAGTGTAACGAATGGGAATAGAGCGAACGGATGGTCTGGGGGAGCCGATGATGATTTTGGGTCCTTCTTAGGTCACGTCACCAGGTAATTGGTTCCTGCATGGTAAGTTCCCAGAAAAGTAGTGGGGAATTTTAGAGCGAAATTCAGAGGGCAAAGTGGGGTGGGCTGAGAAATGACGATACTTCATACGTCATGAAGCGTTTGTTTTCGTCCCGGTCCCCAAAATATGAAAGAGTCATGGATTGTAATAGAACCTAGAACCTAGAACCACGCATCAAATGGGGTTGCAAGATACACCCCGGAAACTTATCTTTTTTTTTTGTACATTCGCATTTATACATACTTTATAGCCGGATCGGTCCATATAAGATAAGCCCCTGCACTACGGCGTAACCATAGCAGAATCACGTTGTGCCAAGGTTAATCGGGCTAGTCGAAGAGAACGATACATACATCCACGGATGTTTAGGTATAAGTACCTAGTACATCAGGTACTTAAGTTGGGCGTTTCTGTCTAGGCAATTTTTAGTAGATACCTCATACATGTTCTAGATGAGACATGAGGCTCTATTTTGGGTGGGAATCGGGTACACGATAGATAAATGTGACTGAAGCCTCCTATGCCACGTATTTACTCGCAGAAGCCACTCGGTAGCTAGCGAGGCCTATTCGATCTTGATCTAGAATATGGAGGATAGAAAGGCCGCAATATCGCGCTCCCTTAACAAATAAAAAGTTGATTTCCGTCACACTACCAATATAAGAGGTACACGCCTTCAATAAAAATAAGGCATAGGAACTGCTCCCCACACAGGAAAGTTATCAATCAACCGGGATACCACATACTGTGGGATGTCTTATTATGGGCAGATATATGCTACGGTATATCGGTCGTTAATTGCCCATCTTAAGTTGCCGGCGTCGTCTTGGCTGCGAATTGCAAGTTTGTTTCCTGGTGATACCATACTCAATCTCCGATTCTGACTGAAGTGGTGATGAAAAGTGTTATGCACTGGTGCTGCGCCTATCTCTATTTAGTTATCTGAAGATGGATATGCTGTGAGACCTTCCGGAATTCGACTGGATATAACTGTCGATGCTTGCATGTATGATGTAGATATCTACATAGCGCATCAAATTGTCGTTTCTGGTAGATTGGCAGATGAAATACCTACCTAAGTTCTGGGGATATTTACGTCTGATGTCTTCATGTATGTATGTAGCTAATCGGATTGGATGGAGGCACATGCAGTGTACAAATGATTAGGTACATATATGTACATACATGTACATGGTTCCCGCATGGCCGGTTTAACCTGATTCGTCGCTTTGTCCTACCTCGTGCCAGATTAAGAAATGTTGGACAGTTAGCTCGCCCGTTCTCTTAAGGTACATAATATGGTACATGCACCCTTTGTCTCTACTAGCTGGGTCTCGAACAGGTTTTGTCAGCACCTGAAGTAAATTGCCCGACTTGCAACCTGGGTTTTTACCAAATTCCAGATTGTCGGCGCCGTATTTGTTGTATTTGTTAGAAGGCCCTCCCGTGGCGAAAACAGGGCATTCATCACCAACTTAGTAAATATAATACACTACGTTAGGTACATATGTAGGTAGCCTAATTTATGCACATTATAGGTACTTTAGGTACCTACGACGTCTACTAAAGGTGAAGTACCTATCATCCTTGCCCCCCATAACGGCCCCCCTAGTAAGATTGGAAAGCAATTCAAAAAGTTAGGTACGTCTGGGTACGCTACGGCACCCTAACCCACTACATCATCAGGCGACATCGATCTCGGATACAAGCACTGCTTGTAGCACTAAACAAGGCCCATACCATGTAAGTGTACGTAGTAGTCTCGATGTCACCGTTTAACCATTCGCGCAAGTCGTCAGTCGTCATTTCTCCCACCTTTTTTTTCTTCTTTCTTTGATAATTCTTTCCCACCCCAGAGCACAACGCCGGGTCAACTCTACTACTGCACAACCATTTTTTAGGTCACATATCTTTATTTTTCTTATTCTTACACGGGGAATTTTTAGATCTTGTGTTTTTAACCTGATTATACCTATAACCTTTACTTTTAGACAAATCCCTAAGAGAACGACTCTATTTCTGTCCTATCTACCTAGCATTGAGAGAAAGACATTACAGACATTGCAGACATTGGAGGAGCCATATCCGCACGATAGAAATCTTGTGACTTGCATTACAGCGAAACAGAAGATAGCAAATTCTACGTCTTGCAGCGTACTCCCCGCCGAACCTAACTTTACACACTTTTGTTACAATTCAAGAACAATCCAACTGCAATTCAAATACCAGGTTTTCCGACCCAAGCCCGAGTCCGTCCTCAAATTGAATTTTTCGGGATCGCATATAGGCATAGGTTAGGTACATTACCGAAAGCAAAGAATCGCCAACTAAAACCTCACCATTTTCGGCAGCTTCCCGCTATTCGCCATCTTGTTGCTCGCATTGCCTGCACTGGTTACCCTTACTGTCTAAAAAAGAGCGGACCTGACCAATTCCCGGACGGCACCTGTTTCTGCAGTTTCTGCATTCAAGTTTGTTTGGTTCGAATTTGAAAAAAAAACCCGTGGGCTTGGAACCAGTGGCGCTTCCGAGAGTTTTAATTTTTGTCTCGCATAGGAGAGACAAGACACGAGACACGGAGTGTGGAAGTGTGGAAAGTGGGATTTTTTTTTAAAAAAAAGCCTAAGGTGCATTTTGGGTGTGACATCTAGTAACCAAAAAAATGTCGACAATCCAGCAGCTTAAGAATTTCATCCGCCATGGTACGCCCCTCCGTTGTCCACCCCTCTGTCGTTCCCTGCTCTGCCTACCTTGTCTACCACACATTTCCTTCGGTGTGTTTTTCTTCTTCCTCACACAAACGAATAATCATCTCATTCGTTTTTTCTTTTTTCCCGGCCTTGCAACTCGTTCATTTTGTTTATTTCGTAACTCTCTTTCCCCAAATTTCCTTATTTGATCCATACTTTTCTATACTTTGGCCGATTTTACGGCGATTTACAATCGCATTTTGGCTCATGTCCCGCTGATATCACATTGTTCGAACAGGCAAACAGGCCAGGGTAACCAACTTCGAAGAACCCTCGCGGAAACATGAATATTCTCCCCCGCAACCTGCGCAACAAAAAGCCATGGGCAACGTAAGCGAGCCCGGACACACGGCCGGCAACGGTCATCGGAACAACATCCCTGAGACATACTCCGCTCAGCCCGGTGATATACAGAACCAAAACCGTGTCGCACAAGCCGATGCCGCCGCCGCCCACCATGCCGAGGCCAACCAGAACGTTTCCCGCACACATTCGAATAAGAGCAAAACTAGAGTAGATGATACCCACGCCGCTAAGATCGTACAAGAGGAAAATGAGAATAGGAATAAGTTTCCCAAGTATCCCGGTCTGGAGAGGTGGGAACTGCTTGAAAAGATGGGAGACGGAGCGTTCAGTAATGTCTACCGAGCCAAAGACCTCAAAGGCAATGCTGGTGAGGTTGCCATCAAGGTCGTCCGGAAATTTGAAATGAACAACATGCAGGTGAGTATCTCTGGCGGTTGAATTTGCGTCGTCAACCTTGTCGTTTCCTCTTTCAGGTTGCAACTTGCGTTTTCTATTTCCAGCAAATTTGAATGTTTCCTGTACCAACTATTGGGGGTCGAATTATAGGGCATGAAGCATCTACATCCGGATTTCAAGAAGGTTCCGAAGGCAGCAGAGGTGCGGAGATATTCTTTTCTTTTGTCCAACTTAACAGATATGCCCTCCGGCTACCTCCAATCCGTCTTCTTACATTCATGAGGTTTCTACACGTTTTAATTATCTCTATTCCATCTATCAACTCTTGTCTATCGCATCATATTCTACAAAAATCCGAATCTGGGGAACGGCGAAGCTAATGATCCATCACAGCGAGCAAATATATTAAAGGAAGTTCAAATCATGCGCCAGTTGGACAATCCTAATATCATCAAACTGGTCGACTTTTCAGAGTCAAAGCAATATTACTATATAATCCTGGAGCTAGCACCTGGCGGGGAGTTATTCCACCAGATTGTGCGACTCACCTATTTCAGCGAAGAGCTCTCAAGACATGTTATCGTACAAGTCGCAAAAGCCCTCGAGTATCTTCACGAGGAGAAGGGTGTCGTGCATCGGTAAGTGAACAATATCAAGTCGATCGGCTGTGAGCCTCAAACCCACTCTGCAATAGTACGACTCAGCTGCCCCGTCTAAGGGTACATTGAGGCGGCTAAATCAGGTGGCGGTGACGTCACTAGACATCCTAATCCTTGGCCCCTGCATCAGCCAGCTGACATGCGAGACGATAGTGACATCAAACCTGAAAATATCTTATTCAGTCCGATACCGTTCGTGCCATCGAAAAATCCCAAGCCAAAACAACCTGGCGATGAAGATAAGGTGGACGAAGGCGAATTCGTCAAGGGAGTTGGAGCAGGAGGAATCGGCCAGATTAAGATCGCTGATTTCGGTCTATCGAAGGTTGTATGGGATGACCAAACCATGACTCCATGCGGCACTGTTGGTTATACAGCCCCTGAGATAGTTAAGGATGAGCGTTACTCTAAGTCAGTGGATATGTGGGCCCTCGGCTGCGTATTATACACATTATTATGTGGCTTTCCACCTTTCTACGACGAAAGCATCGAGGTTCTTACGGAAAAGGTTGCTAAGGGGCAATATACTTTCCTATCACCGTGGTGGGACGACATCTCCAAATCTGCTCAAGATTTAATTACGCATCTTCTTTGCGTCGACCCTGACGAGCGGTATACGATCAAGGAATTCTTGAGCCATCCGTGGATACAAGGATCCGGACCTACGCCACGCGAAGAAAAGAAGGCGAACGCAGAAGTCTTACGCGCATTCGACGCCGGACGACTTATTGATGGCGAGCGCCGCATGGACTTCAGGTCCCCAGGCGCGGTAAATCTCCGAGAGATTTTCGATGTCGGATACTCGGTACATCGGCAAGAAGAAGAGGCCAAGCGGAGAAAGCAGATCGGCGCCAAGGGTGCTGCACCGTCGCGATTGGCTGGTCTTCACGAAGATTCGGAGGAGGAGAAATCGGACCCGGAATATGTGCATAAAGCCGAGTCGCAATCGCTTGAGCAGAGCATGCGTAAGACGCATATTGGTAAGGAGCAAGAACGCGGCCGACAGCAAGAACGACAAGCCGATAGAGAACAAAAAGGTTATGGTCAACACAGCGCCGCCGTCGCGCAAGCCGCTCGGCAGCAGGTTCGTGATCGAAATAAGCAGCGAGGAGCTTTCGAACTCAATCTGGATGGGGCGACGTTACTTGGTAGACGAGCCGCAAAACCTCCCGCAACCGCTAGCGTTGGCGGCTTATAGGACAAGACAGCTGACAAGCAGGAAGTTGATATTGGAGAGAAACATGATCACGACAGTTGTTGGCATTGACTTATTGATTCTAAGAACATCTGGGCCGAGTTTCTAAGACAAGCGCGGAGAACGGATTTTGGAGGCATCGAGGCATGTGATATTGGTTTGAATGAACAATACGGGGAGTTCTTGTGGCTTTTTGTCTTTTTGCAACATTGATCCGCCGGCGCTTCACACATAGGACTAGGCGTTGACGGAATCGAGATACATATTTCGCCCTGTTCAATTGACGGTGTTTCGAAGTGAATAAAATTAAGCTGTCCCTACATTCCTCGTTTTGATGAACTTGGCCAGTCTGTTTGCGGTATTAGTTTTCCAATCCTGTGTCTTGCTGCAGCTGTCTCCCTTCGTAGTATATTGGCGGCGCATCGTTGTCCCTAGCCCCCCTTCAGTAAATTTGAGACACTGCAGTCCTTTAGTACAGCAAACGAGTGTCGACTGCAACCAAATTCAGTATCCGGTCCCTGAATTGCCCAGTCTGCCCTCGCTAGGGATCACCAGGAACTAGAAGCATTTTTACCAATTCAGTAACTTCTATGATTTCCGTATGGTCTAATGTGAAGTGTATAAGAAGCTGTCGATCATCCGCCATTTCCAGTTCTCAATCCACAGGATCACACACCCAGCCACTTTACCTCACCCGTCCTTTTACGCCAGAGCATTTAATAAGTAATACGCAAATGGTATGGGCAACTATACGCCATCGTTATCATATAATATCTTAACTTCTATACCTCTATTTTCTAAATTTCCCTTAGTATTTTATAACCATACTCGCCCTTAGCCTAATCATATACACTCACACCTCTATCTCTTTCGACATTGCCGCCAAAGCTCTATATTAACAAAGCTAAACGGTTTATTCACAAATATAATAATCCGAAGGACACTATGGCGAATTCCCTAGCGCAATTGGGAGTCCAGTACATGCCGTCGACCGGGGGCTGTATGCTAGACTTGGCCGCCATACCCTCCCACCTATTCAACTCTTGCAGCGCTGTTCACATCCGCATTCCAGAAGCTCAGCACCACGTCGAAGTTAACTCGGATATGATCTGCATTAAGCCCAGCCAGCCGGCTCCGGGTCCGGGTGCTGCTATCTATCGTGAGCAGTACATGTATCCAAACGTGGTGGTACCAACAGATCTTCCTCATGCATCGCCGAAGAACCACAAGCAACAGCCACCTTCATTCAATGCCCCAGAAACTCCTATACACCACCCTGTACCAGAGCCAGACGATATTAAGCCCGCTAACCCTGATACACCAAATGATTCTCAAAAGGACTCGGCGCCGAGTTTACGGACGTTTGCAAAGACGACACATAGGTCTACTATAACTAATACGCATACCGCTTCGCTATCTCCTCAGGTTACGCATGTCTTACAATCACCGACTGTAACAACTACTTCATGCACTACCCACCTCCACACCCCCGGGCCTTCCACAACAGCACCTGTAGTCCACGCCCCTATGCCATCGACACTAACCACACGGACCATACTCCCATCACCACCACCACCACCATCACCATCTCAAGACTCCCCCACACCCAGCTCCCAACCAGCCCGCCCCGCCGTCGTACCCCCACCATTCCCCCTTCCGGAACCAGAACCACAACCGGAAGCGGGCCCGGACCCAACCCCGATTCCGGATCCGGAACTCGGCAGTGCCCCTCCTAACCCGGGGTACTGCGGCGAGACGTACTTCAAAATGGAATTCTCACACATCGAAACCCTCGACCCGCACGACCTCGACACATACCTCAACCTCCTCGGCGTCGGCGATCTCGGCCTAGACCCCGGCCTAGACCTCGAGCACGGAATCTCAGGATTCGTATCGTCGCTGCTCAGCGGCGCGGTGGACGACGACTCGACGCGCGGGGTCTGGCGGGAGCTGGAGCGGTCGTATCGCGTGAGATGCGGGGTTTCGGTGCAGGAGCTGTGGAGCAGCAGCAGCAGGGATGCGGAGGGCCAGGTGGAGTTTATACGGTCGATGGGCTCGCAGATGGAGTGCTTGCAGGAGTGCGAGAAGAGCGCTATCGGAGCCGCGGCGCGGGACGGGGATGTTAAGGAGTGTCTGGGCGCGGCGTGGAGTTGGGGGCTGGAGAGGGATAATTGTCGGTTTTGGACGGGGGGGAGGGATGAGTTTTTGCCGGTGGAGAGGTTGAAGGGCGGAGAGAGGGGGGAGTGGGATCTGGTGTATTTGTGAGGCGGGGTGGGATGGAGGGAGGTATAGTGGATGTATGTGTGATGGTGTGGGTTGGGTGGAATGGTTATGTGTGTATTGGGAGAAGCGTGGCGTTTAGGTATAGTGTTTTTACTACCTACGTTTGTATAATGCCCATCGAAACTTTCTAGAAATTTAATAGTAATACCATCTCACTTCCCATACTAAAGGAGGTAAATATTTCTCGCGGATTTGGATGGATGAGTGATGAGTCTCGCTTTAGAATAAATATGACGAGACGAATAGAGGGGATCGAAGGCTTGGAAGGACGACATACGAACTTGGAGTCAGCAACGTGAACTAAGCTTGAGGTATGAATTCTAAAGTGCTTTATCATAGGGAATCTTCGATTTTTCACCTCCTTCGTGTCTATGATATCTCCTGTCTGTTGTTGGTATTATACAGTAGGCAAAACCCCAACCCGGAGATATCCACCCTCTCTCTCATCTACATAGCTCCATCTTAACCGTGCGTCGGCGGCGGGCTAGCCACAGCCCAGAAGTCGAAGTCAGGGTTATCATACCCGCCGCCCTCCTTCCATGTAGACGCGTACGGGGCGTAATGGTCCCAATTCGACGACGTGTTCAGCCCGAGCTCGGCCCAGACGAACAGCCCGTCTTCCAGCCTGTTGCTCAGCGAGATGTAGTTCGGGAACGGGTCGTACTCGGACGTCGCGGCGTACCCGGTAAACCAGTCCTTAAGGTTGCTCGTGTGCGGGATGGGGTTGGTATTGTACGGCGCGGTCGCCTCGATGGTGTCGCGTAGCGTCTGGTCGAAGAACAGCTGCGATAGGTGCGCCACGCGGCCGCCGGTATATGTCCCGTTGGGCAGGACCTCGGAGCCGACGTGCGCGATTAAGTGCTGGTGCGTGGCGCGTCCCTGATAGTGGCCCGGGAAGATGGTATCGAAGTTGACGACGCCGTCCTCGTCGACGGGCTGCACGCCTCGCAGGTACGTAGTCCCTAGGCCGCCCTCGCCTCTCGCGCTGACGCCGCTGTATGCGCCCGTCGCGTTGCACGACCACGTGTCGATCAGCACGCCGATGACTGGCTCGCAGGTCTGCACGTCGATGAATTGCAGCTCGAGGTGCATGGGCACGCCGACCGTGTCCTCGACTAAGTCCGTGCGGATGTGCTCCTGGTACACGAAGTACGGCCCGTTGGCATTGTCCGGGGTCAACACGCAGCTGGTGTTGGCGCCGAAGATGTCTTTATTAGGAGTGTCCTTGGTGAAGTCCAACGTTCCGGTCTTGTTGTGCGATAATGCGGCCCATTTCTCAAATGCCGTGGCGTCTCGGCGGTGGAGCCACGGAGCTGTAGTTCGGGATTAGTTGTGGTGAGTCAAGGATAAGGGGGGAGGGGGAGTGTTGCGGAAAGTGTCCTTGCCTTTCTCGATACCCTTATCGCGACGGAGCTGTGCGAATTTCTCAGCTCGTCGAGCGACTGGAGCGATTTTAGTTAGCATATGTTGCCCCTTTAAGCGTTCAGGGGTAGATGGGTTTTGTTTTTTTAGGGCATTTTTTAACAGACGAAGAGCGTATACGTGCACAGTGGTATGTATAAAATGTTGGTCAGGAATCCTAGAAGATACATACTGGCACGCTCCTTACGAGCTTTCACCGCGGGCGAGTTCTGACACGCCTCAAGAGCCCTCGTGTTCATCCTGTTAACAACGTGGGCATTACCCATCTCCTCTAAGGCCTCCCGCTTCCCGTACTTCTCTCCCGGGTGCCCAAAGACCGCCGTGGGGGTTAACGACAAGGCCACGGCCAGAGTGGCCGCTATCGAGGGTACAAACACCATTGTGGACCTGAGGTTTTCGAGATGAGCTTGTCAGAATCGGAGTACGGACAAGAAACTCAAGCTCCCTACAAGCAAAATAAAGGGGCTGCCCCCCCTTTTTAGCCACCGACCCCTAAAGCAAGAAGCTCTTCAACGGGACATGCTGAGTTCGTCAGCGCTACTTGCTATTTCTCCGTTAAGACCGCCAAGAATCGCCGTCACGGCAGACACAGTCGTCCACGGCAGCGACGCCGGCAGTAGGACGTCGAAAGAAGGGTCCAATTTAGTAAGGGGATATAAGTCGAGCTATAGGACCCCGCAAAAAAAAGCCCCCGTCGACGGTTCTAGTTCTCCCTGGGTCTTGAAGAAGTAAAAGCGGTTTGCGCCATCCAGTATTTATTTTTTGATGTTGGCCCTGTTTATCCGGTCTTGGACGCCGTGCGCTCTGCCAGATGAAATAGGTAATTGGGCGACGATCCCCTACCGACCGACTCTAGGCAGACAGGGGACCTAGTCTGAAAATTCCCAGGCTTTGGAATGAGGCTAAATCTACATACCGCATTTCAAAACCGAGTCCCTTGGTAGGTTCATCTGCACCCCGGACTCGTCTATACCCCAGATATTGCCCTCGCTTCAAGTCCCGTCTGCAATACCAATAGGCGGGCTTATATTATATTAAGCTTCACATGCGTGGCTCGCCGATTTCGAATTATGACGGCCTTCATTGGACGGATCCCGGGGTCGTGGGTATGGCGGGTAGGACAAGGCAAATGCCGCGTTCACGAGAACGGGTGTCGGCATCGAGTCGCGTTTTATGCGTCCTTTGCGAACCCCCCCAGTAGTATTTGCCTGTGTACCTAACCCATATCTCGTGGTGGTCGGCTCGTTCTTGGCCCTGTGTCGTTTAAGAAATTGATCTCCATCTACTTTTCGAAATCTGTCCAAACATATATAACCAGCACATTGCCAGAATCACGACACTTGGATCAGGCTAAATATGCTGTGGTTTGTTAACGCGATAATAATGTACCTTTAGACGACTTAAGTTTAATCGATTTTATTATGACTCAACCATGCCTCTGTTTTGATTGCGTCTATCCTGGGGCCGTTACAGCCGCGAATGTAATGGACTAATTATGGGTTCGGTAAGGTTTTATACGGTATACCCAAGTAGGTAGGTAGGTATGTACTGAAGTTACACCGGCTTCATCAAGAAATGTTCAGTTTTATTATACTAATCGAATCAAAGTTTAGGGCTGAGTTAAGCTTATCAGGCAAAAGGAGGTAGCGAATTTTATTTCGAAAAGCTAAGAGTTATATTACTACTACCTATCCGAAAGTGGTTTCCACTAGAATCGCATGCTTACACATGTCGAGTTCTATGTAACTAGCCCCGATATCCGAAGCATTGAAGGCTACTCAGAAAAGCCAGAATTATCAATGCGAGATGATTAAGCCCCCCTTATTTGCCGTCTTTTCCCACAATTATGTTAGGTAGATCGATAACTTAAGCACCGTTGCCATTGTAGAGGACGGCGTTGACGGTGCCGCTAGGGATACCGGTGAGCTTGCCAGTGGTGTAGAGAGCCTTGATGCGGCTGGTGACAGCGGCGGGGGTGGTGAGACCCTCGAGGGCAATCAGGTACAGAGAAAGACCAGTCACGTGGGGAGTGGCCATCGAAGTACCAGAGATGGTGTTGGTGGCAGTGTCTCCACCGATCCACGAGGAGAGGACGTCAGTTCCGGGAGCGAAAACATCGACAACGGATCCGTAGTTGGAGTAGGAAGCAATGCTCCATGAGGAGTCGATAGCACCGACAGTGATTGCGTTGGCGGCCGAGGCGGGCGAGGTGCTGCCAGCGTCGGTGGCGCTGTTACCGGCGGCGACGACAGACAGGACACCAGAGCTGTAGGCAGATTCTACGGCGTTGTTGAATGCAGAAGAGAAACCACCACCTAGGGACAGGCTGATAGCGGACTTGCTCTGGCGGCCCTTGCTGGTGATGTCGTTGACGGCCCAGTTGTATCCGTCCAAGATGATCGAAGTGGAGCTGCTAGTTCCCTGGAAGACCTTGACGGAGAGGATAGTTGTTTGCTTAGCAACGCCGTAGGTGCTGCCGCCAATTGTGCCTGCTACGTGGGTACCATGTCCCACAGCGTCAGCATCGCTGCCACCGACGGCGTTGTAAGCGAGCGAAGCACGGCCGCCGAATTGCTGGTGTGTAGCGAGGATACCAGTGTCAATAATGTAGGCAAAGGTGCCCTGGCCGGCGCTGCTGTCGTAGATGTACGAGGTAGAGCCGGAGGTCTTGTGGGATACGGTACCAAGACCCCAGGTAGCGCCGGTCTGGGTGGTGAGAGCTCGCTTGGAAGCCTCAGGGGACTCGTCAAAGAGGTAGTAAACCTGATCCTCCTCGATCTCGGCGACCTGGTACAAGTGTCAGCATATCTGCAACCGGATATATGGGGTTAAGGTATTAAGCGCGCGCTAAAGCGGAATATTTATTCAACTTACATCGGGATGGCTCTTGATCTGCTCGATGGTCTCGGCGTCGAATTCACCGGCGTAGGCGTTGAACTTAGCGATCTGGTACTCGTGCTCAACACCGACGGTGTCGCGCTTGTTCAAGCTGCGGGCATGGACACTGCGGGCCCAGTTGACGTGAGACTTGAAGTCATCGGAAGTAACGCCCTCCTTGAGGGTAACGATGTACTTGTTGGGGATTATTTCTCTCTTCTGCTGAGTAGAAGGAGTGGGAGCAGCAACAGCCGCAGGGAGCAGAGCTCCGAGGAAGAGCGCGAGGCGGCGAACGTTAAACATTGTAGACGATCGGTGTAGCTGAGGAGAAGACTGTTGCTTGTGGCTCGGAGCTGTTGAACTTCTCTAAAATCTACTAGACGGAAGTGATCAAAGCGGCTTATATAGACGTTTCTGAAACATCTTCAAACCCCAAAAACCGCCATCAATGGTGACATACTGTATGCCTCATTACGAGATGGTCCGATGAGGTTCTCGAGGTAGGCAGACCACCATCGAGCTTCCCAATCAGCCTTAGGAGCTTAACTAGAGCGCTTAAGAAACGTGGATGAGAATCACGACGCGATTCAAAATGCGGAAGGAGGAATAGGAAACGCATGCGGGCAAAGTCATAAAGCAACATGTAAGTGGTGGCTGAAGATTATTAAGAAGCTATACTTCGCGGGTTACAATTCGATTCATTCAATAATAGAATGTGGGAGAAGGCCGAACAAGCAGGAAATCACTTGGCAATGTAACTCTGATGCCGAATGTTGAAGCTGAAAGCAAACCAGCAGGCGAAGTATTGCGGGACACGGTGCAAGCGAGGCCAGCGGCATTCATAGTTTGACCGAGGTGCGGTTGCTCTGGAGTTAATGCGATGGTGTGATAGACATAGACCTCCCGCTATATCGCTACATCGCTCCAGAAGATGTCAGCCGCATAACCGCTCCGGATCGACAGGGACCTGCGTGCTTCCCCGGTGCTCTGTTTAAGCCAACCTTATACCAGCTACGTTAGGTAACGATCACCTAGAGATAGCATCTCACTGAGGCTCACGCCGGTAGATTATAGAATGATCTGCGCTGTCACAGGTCGGGAATTAATCGCGAGGCATGACATAGAATGCTCAGCGATTTAGAAGTTTAGCAAAACGTTGGCATCAAGCCCCTAAATTCTGAAGGATTGGGTTTCCCTCAACCTTGTTTCTTGGACGTTCGTAAAGCTGCCTGAGCGACCTGGGCCTTGGGTAGCATCAGATAAGGAGACTAGAATCAATGTTACGAACGACGTATAGTCAAGCCGTCAGGTAGGCTAGTCGTCCAATAATAAGCTATGAACCATGCGCTCAAGTTCTTATCAGGACAGGGCGGGGCTGAGATGGGATGCCAACTCAATCTTGGCAATATTGGAGGAAGACCAACCTCTGAGGGAGCTTGTAAAAAGCAGCTACTGGGGTGACGCCGGCAAACAACTTGGACGCGAGGATAGCTCGGGAGTTGGAGCTAGGATACTAGACACAACAGGCATAGTACGATCGGAGATTTAGGTCTGTTAGGCATATCTGAGTGATCTGAGAGTGCCAAGGCTGAGAGGGCGCGGACGGGATCCATGCTACCCTCTTACAAATGGAGCGATGTAACGTAGGCCAGGCTTGTCTGGACTTCAGAGCTTCCGTTTTCGTAATGCGACCCCGGACGGAGACGCATCACGTTCATCACGACAGAATGGCGCGAATAGGTGAGGCCTATTACCTTGCCGGCTACCCATGATGACATCGTGACACATGGGGATTGCGACAGCGTGGGAGGTTGTGCAGGACTGAGGTGCTTATAAGTTCTTGGGGAATTTTCTCGTAATGAAAACCATAGCTATCCCCGGTCCTCAGGGTTCGCAGCACCGATGCGATGCCACATCAGTCGGAAATGCCGGTCTCGTGAACTAGGACTACCGATTCTCCTAGCGCCGGGGTGGAGCCGGGCACGCGACTCTGCTTGTAATTTGTTGCTTACATCTAGCTTACATTTGATGAGGATATAAACATGGTGTAATCAAGATATGCAATGGTGAAAGTTGAATACCTCATAGTAGTATGAGAAAGTTTGGATGAAGAGGTCAGACGAAGACATTTGTTGGTGCGAGTTAATTTAGGTTTGCAAACACGTGCTGATTTCAATCAATATCTAATATGTAACCGGTAGGTCGATATACTCTATATATGCATTTAGACGGACATATGGAGGAGGAACTCCGGAGGTTTGGAGTTAAGGGTCAATACCTATCTACCAAGACATACTCCTCCTCCTAGGTACTTGGCAATTGCGATGGGAGGCCAATGCCGTCCTACCGCACCGACATTATTATCAAGCAACTCATTGGCAAGGGTTAACGCTGCTCCCGCGATCAGGATATCCGGTACGTCTATCGTCTTGAATACGATTAACACGTGACATTGACTACAGATTTCATACAAAGCTACTATGGAATTAGTTGAAATTACCTCGGCTTTAATTCGAACTTCGAAAAACATACTTTCAAACATGTTTTGTGGATTTTAACTCGTGGTTCGTTGCCGGAGATATGTTTGGATTATCATTGTGTGGGATATACTTTACATGTACTAGTAGATTACTGAAGCCACTTATATATTGTCTGCATACCTATGTATTCGTTTCTGTGTTAATTCATAGTGAACCGTAACAGGGCCAATAGTTGGGCCATCCCAGCAGGTCATGAGCGCGTTGCCTTGTAGTATTACCCATCACAACTTGCTTTAAAGACATGACAGCGATATGAGTGCAGCTCATTCGTCAATAAATGCATCGAAGGATTCATGCGGTGCAGTTACGACGTAGCACAGATTTCTCTAATTATGAGGTAGGTACCTAGGTAGGTTACCTAAGACTCGAAGGCGCAGTTAGCTTTGAGCAAAAAAGCATACAGGCCCCCCGGCCCCTTTAGAGAAGGAATATACGTTATGTTCTTAAGTACGAACGAAGTAGGTTGAATAAGGTTGTTGTTTAATTTACAAGGCTTTAATTAGGTAAGTAGCTATAATCTTCAATTCTATAGTTTCTCGAGTTCGATAACACAATACGCCTGAATAGGTACTTACCTATTTATAGGTATCCATACTTGGACAGCTATGATGCATACACAGCCAGTTGGTGCGTAGACGGAATATCATGGCTTAGAATATTTATTGCGAAACAGCGCCACATACGTCTTTGGAGAGAATTAATATCATCCCTGGGAGTCTGTAATACCAACCTAAAAACCATAAATTTTACTCCCCCGCTACTAACTTGTCCGGCATTTCGAAACTGTTGGTGTAATACATTCATATCCCCAGAAGCGGCTTAAATTATGGAAAGTAAGTTGGCTTCCTTCACCAATTGCCTACTTTAAGCACCAATCCTCAACTAATTTGTAATCCTTTGCTTAGGCGACGGATGCTCCAGCGACATCCATATCTCAAGTCAAGAAGATATTATCAACCTCAATTGCTCCTGCGATGATGCTCACAACGATCAAATTTACATCACTAATTTCACCGGCGAGCTTGATTACCCGCATTGCTCGAACTTACAAACTATTGATATCCGTGGTAGCCCTGGGTTGAAAAAAATAAGCTTCCCTGACCTGAATCGCCTAGGCGAGCTCCTGATACACGATGCTACGGAGCTCGAAAATATTTCATTACCATATCTGTACCCAAACTCCCCCGGATATATTGATCCCTATTTTGATTTGCTCGGTGCACCGAATTTGAAGAATGTCACCTTCGGAGACATTACTGTTTTCTCAGAGCTCAATCTAGCCAGCCGACACATATATGAATACTCATTTTCCAATATAACCTCAATTACTGCTCTGGTGGTGTGTTATGACTATCACTTTGAAAACCTCCGGTCGGTGGTGACCTTGCAAATCGCAGGAAATTATAACCAGTACTTTGAAATGTTGCGAATGTTCTCGAACATAACATCACTCCAAACCCTGACATTGACCGACGTCGGAGGAAACATATATTTCGGTAACTCTTTGCTAGTTAATAACTCTCTAATAATAGAGAATTGTTACAGTAATGTTATCGGATATCTACCTATCTATGATATCAAGAAGATTGATTCTGTTGGGTCTGATCTACGGGCAAGCAACAATACAGTTACCGAGTTAAATTTTCGCCAATTGACAACTGTGAGCGGGGATATCTCTATTTACAATAATACGAATTGCACATTAAATTTAAACCAACTTTCGGATGTTGCATCATTATCTTTAGTCGATAATGTCAATACTACCTTGCCTTGGTTTCCCCGGCTACAAAGAGCCAGCAATATTCACATTCGAGGGTATATTGATACGTAAGCTAGGCGCTATATTTTCTCATGTATCAAATGCATTGCTAAAACGTGTCCAGTTCTCCCGGCCCTAATATTTTCCCAGCTTTGACAGCAGTATCGGGAAATGTCACCATAGAAGCATGGAACGACGACTTCAACTGTTCAAAGCTTGTGGACCAATACCAAAGCGGCCTCATTCATAACCTGGCATGCAATGGGACCAACAACATAACTGAAACCAATACGGGAAGCTCTCCAGGCAATACCTCGCCAGAGTTATCTCAAGGGGCGTGGGCTGGTATCGGAGTAGGCATAGGAGTATTTGTTATAGGCACCGTTACCGGCATGGTTTGGCTTCTTCTACGACTCAAACGGTGGAAAAATGAGCTTATTGAAAGAATAAGACAACGAGAAGCCTTACAAGAACATCATAGGAATAGCCTAGAGATGAACCATGAACCGCCGAATCTGAACCTCCTATTGGAAAGTGACGGTACGGGAATCATCCGGGAAAAGCCCGACGACCACCTTCGCGAGGCTGGTGGTAGAGCGATCATTGCTGAGCATCCAGACGATCATATACGTGAACTACCGGTGCCACCGGCAGAGCTAGAAGGGGCACCAAACGCGGGGAGAAGGACGTGAAAGATGGAAGCGGTGAATAATAAGGAAATATATCGCAAGCAAGAGTTTCACTAAGAACACACGGTACGAAAGAACGGGCGGTTTTTTCGGGTTCCGTAGTCGGCGTATGCGTTAGGTTTCTGTCTCGTTCAAATACAATTATACCAGCGAATTTTATACGTCCATAATAGCGTGAAATAGTACCGTAGACACGAATGAGATATACTCTAGCATGGGGATATGGTACAACTTGGAATTGACAATACTGGTACTGGCGGTACCTAGGTAGTAGCGCGTCTCCTGATACCCCTAGTGATGAGAACATAGCAGCCCACGCTCATTATTACGTATCACTAAATATTACATTATAAGACTAGCTGTACCTATCAACCGTGGTAGCACTTGTAAAAGTTTAATTTAATATAATAGCGATACCCCCACCCCCCTTTATAAAATTTTCGGAGGTAGGTATAGTGATCTAGCCTGTGAGCTGTACTTATAATCATGGCACGAATTGAAAAATAATAGTGTGCAGAAGAGTAAATCTATAAACGCCTGTCCCTATGCTAAGCTACATGCGACCGAACCCTCTCCATTTATACATGCTAAAGGCTCCCGCGTGGTAATCACCACCGGGATTTCTAAACCACCTGGGCCATAAGACCGCCTGGGCTACTGAATCAACCACCCGGGTTATGTAAATTCTATCGCTGATAAGCCGTCATATATGCATTTTCCCTGACAAGATAGATGCCTGAACCCGCAAGCCACCCCTTAACTCTCCCTCCCCTCTATTCAACAAGTTCGAGACCCAATGCCTCGAGATCAGCGCCTCGCTTATTTCCAGTGGCACTGGACGAAGGAGCTCCTGTTCTTGGCGCCGGTGTGGGTCATCAAGCCGCAGAAGGTCACATCGACCTTGCCGGTCTTCTTGTTCATCGCGGAGACGTTGACGACGACACGGTCTGGGCCTGGGTCGTCGGGGCGGGCGCCGACGTAGACCTTGTTGTTCTGGAGGATGGGGAACTCGTAGAGCGGGCCCTTGCACTTGCTCTCGAAGTTCTTGATCTCCTTGCCGCGGTTGTGGAAGACGTGGGGGTACTTCCCGTTGCCGATCTTCTTGTTGCGGGTCTCGAGCTTGCCGGCCTGCTCGCCGGCGTCGTGCATGCGCGCGGTGTTGTAGGTGTGCTTGGCGCAGGTGGCGCTGCGGGGGAAGCCGCGGTAGGTGAACTTGGGACGGACGGCGCGGTCCTCGAGGGATCGGTCCTCGAGTATTCCCTCGATCTCGCGGATGTCGATGGAGTCTTCTAGATTACCAATCTCGACGATGTCCTCGACTGGGACGACTAGAGAGCTCCCGAGGGAGAAGAAAAGAGCGGCGGTAAGGAATGCAACTGGCTTCATTGTGAAGACCTTTTTCGAAATGAATGTGATAAATAAATAAGAAACGATTGAAAGATGCCTTTGAGTGTCGGCTGTTGGTTGTTGATTGTGTTGAAGGTAAGGGAGGACGATGTGTGACCTTTATATATTATACATGTCGAATAGTCAGGTCACTTCGTGTTTGTCTTTGAGCCTCCTAGCATCACACTACATCCACTTGGAAGATATTCCATCTGGCTCGGCATCATCACCAAAATAGAACCTACTCGCCTGTACGACCAATGAGAAGTTATGATCAGATCAATGATTGACGATAATCCTATGCCAATGTGTATAACTACCAGGGCATATGTTTGCATATTATTAATTTGGCTTATACCGTTTCACTATTCAGTATTTGGTGATGTCGTTGGTGCCGGTGGGAAATGTATAGACCTTGTAGAGATGACCGAAAATAGGCATTGGGTAGCATAACTGCGATGGGTTTAAGCTGTAGATGGAAGTTGGGAATTTCTATAAGGCTTAACGATGGCGCAGGCCAGCATAAACGGAAGGAGCTTGATTGACTTTTGCAATATATTGTAAACTTCCAATCTTTCTTTATTTTCAGCTTGCCTAGACCTAAGCTTGCCTAGCGCGATGCGGATCAGGAGGCTCAGGAGGCTCAGCTGTGTTACCCACACGATTTAAGCTTGGCGCATGCCCTTCTACGTTAGAGTGCTCTTTTGTTAATAAGGCTTAAACACTGCCCTATCGTATAAGTTGATATGATGCTCCTCTAATCTAGATCCTACGAATCCTCCCTTTCCCTAGTATTGCGGCACCTGAGACCTAGCGGACAATCTGGTGTATTCAAACAGGTATTGCAGAGTTTACTACATGCATACCTGTCTTAAAAGACACGTGATTATTAAATTGTTCAAGCAGCACAGCCTTTGTAGAGTCTCCCTTTTTAAGTTATCGCGGCTGACTTTTTCTTGGGTTTTCGTGTCCCATCATTCGCATCTCCAACTCAAAACTTCTTATCAGCTAACTACTTCTTGTGAAATGGCACCGTCAATCGATTCATTCTTTGACAAAAAAATTGCAGATCGATGGGGCCCGACGCGAAATGAGTGAGCTTTCGTCGTCTTTACCCTTACCTTAAGGCTAGCTAATCACCGATAGGGTGAATGCTCTCCGCGAGCTTCTCCGAGGGAATATCAACCACGAGGAAGCAGCTACGAGATTTACAAGCGATATTGCTGCATCTCGCAGTGCTGATGTGGCCAGCGGATCTCTATGGGGTATATGGATGCTGCTCCAGGAGACAGCAAAAAAGTTTCCCGAGCACCATGTTAAGGTAAACTGTCACCACTAAGACGGTCTTCTTTTCTTTTCTGAATCTGACCGTTTGAAGTTGGTCAAATTGGTCGATGCTATCCGGCAGCTTCCAGACCTTGTCATCAAGGGAGAAACAGCCGTCAAGTGGCCTGAGCTTCCGAAATTGGCAGAAGTATGGGGAGAAAATGTTTATGACCGTGAGTGATAAGTCTTGCGCCCACTTACCTGTAGAGAGTTAACTTCGATAGGGGACGAACTGGCCTATTCCGAAGAGCATATAGCAGTGACCGCATTCACGGCCCAGCTTTGTGCCCGGCAGCTTGTCGATGCCAACGATTTTCTGTCGTGGGCAGTAAGGGATTTTTATGCTGCCTTTGAGCAGACCCCGGCAGAAGCTGCTGATGTTAAGGGAGACAACGTTCGACTATTGAACGCCAATGTGCCTATTGCGGCGCAATGGATCTTGCATGCCGGAGAGGTGATTTACAATTGCGAAGAGAGTTTTAATCTCGAGTCGAGCGATGGCTTGTGGACGGGTAAGCCTGGATTTAGCTGGGGTAGGTGGAAGCTATGGAAGGAAAGGGCAGAATGGGTATCTGGCCTTGATAGGGTGGTAAGACAAGAGACGATAGATATCGCTAAGAAAATGGTGGAGAAAATGAGTCAGATCGAGAGTGAAGACGCCTGATGGAAAGTATATAAAGGTGAGCAACTTGGCTTGATGAAGGAATCTATAGAAGTGTTAGCGTGTTGAATTGATTTTAATGGTATAATATTCTTGATGTAGAAGTTGTTATCAGATGAAATGTATCGCATTCCATGGGACTTCTATATTCTTAAAATAGTGGGATGTCGGCAAAGTACAATTAGGTACTCCGACGTAAAGAGGTACCGACCTACATAAGCTGCCAAGCTGCTAGAGAGGTACGGTAGGGTGTATGTGAAGAAGTGACGTTAATTTAGCGCGTTACAGCTACAACACAGAAGGTGTCCCCAACTCTAATCAAGGGAACAACTGAACAATGAAAAACTATAAAATTCCCTGACGTAAGTTTGCGCCGGCTCGCTTGAACATCACAACTTCTTATCCTAGGGAACTTCGGCATTGCTGCAAAGATGCAACAGTTTGATAGACTCAATTTCTTATGAGCTGGCTACTTCCGTCCCTTCGATTTAACAATGGACACATCTAACTCGGGAGGTACGGATTCGAATAAATTAAGCTTCTACAGGATATTATTATACTTCACTTCGATTGACCAATTTATTAACTTGTTCTTGCTGTAGATATCTCCTGGACCTCTATTCCGACTCACCTACTCCTTGCTGAGCTATCAAAAAGACAGCATGGAAGTTCCTCATCCGATGCCGAAAAGCCAGCTTGTGGATCGGGCGAGCGAGGCGCATACAATACCGCGCTTCATGTCTTCGCTTTATTCCTAATACTTACACTAAGCACGCTCGGTAAGATGTCAAAGTTATAGCTACGTCTGAACTTCGTTAGTTTGGATTGGACATGCTAACTGGGGTTATGCGACGATTCGTAGCTTGCGGTTTTCCCCTCTTCTCCCGCCAGTCCTCTAAGAGTCGCCGAGCCAATACGATCGTATTCCTCAGCCAACACTTTGGCACAGGCGTCCTACTCGCAACCGCCTTTGTTCACCTTCTTCCGACTGCTTTCCTATCTTTGACCGACCCCTGTCTCCCCTATGCGTTCAGCGAGGGATACCAACCCATGGCGGGGTTGGTAGCTATGGTATCAGTTCTGGTTGTTGTGGCGTTGGAATCATACCTGACGACTAGGGGTGCTGGCCATTCGCATGGCCACGCGTGGGATGTGGATGATGATGAACCGCAGGAAGAGGACAAGAATACCGCGACTAATGGTGGATTGTCTGCAAGAAGAGTTGCGAGCCACAGGCCGACGGATATTGCGCTCGGTGATGTGAGCTCCAGTAGGGGTCTAATGGCAGATGTTTCCCCACTCCCAGAATCCACGCCGATCGTCGTATCGCCGCCGAATAAGAAACATTTCAACAACAACGATGACGGAGAGAACGATTCGGACGATAACGATGACGAAGATCTCGACCTTAATCTCAATGAGCTCGACCCCACTGCGGAAGACGACGCACAGCCTCTTGCCCATCATAACGGAGGCAACCATAGGAGGCGGCATTCTGAATCTGCCATTTCTCAAAGCCCGCTAACACCCGAAGAGCAGAAAAGACTAATGCTCCAGTGCATGTTACTAGAGGCCGGAATCCTATTTCATAGTGTCTTTATCGGTATGGCTGTGTCTGTTGCTACAGGACCCCCCTTCGTGGTGTTCCTGATCGCCATCGCATTCCACCAGACCTTTGAAGGCCTCGCCCTCGGATCTCGTATAGCCGCGATTCAATTCCCCCGGTCGTCCCTACGTCCCTGGCTAATGGTTTTGGCGTATGGGCTTACTACTCCCATCGGCCAGGCTATCGGGCTTGCCGTACATAGGTTGTACGACCCGCGTAGCCAGACAGGTTTGCTCATGGTCGGCTTTATGAACGCCATCTCGAGCGGCCTTCTGCTATTTGCGGGCTTGGTGCAGCTGCTTTCCGAGGACTTTCTCACCGAGAAAAGTTATAAGACGCTGAAAGGGAAGAAGAGAAGAAATGCTGGCTTGGCTGTGCTGGCGGGTGCTACACTTATGGCTCTCGTTGGTGCTTTTGCGTAAATCTAATTGATAGATTCCTGATTGTAAAATTTTGGCGTTTCCGGATAGGGGCTATCTAAAACAAGGAATGATATAGATGGCTACTAGGTAGATGATATCTTGCTACTTCGATCAAGGGTTAAGTCTAATTCTGGACTCGCCACGGTTACATGAAAAAAATATATACTTGGAGCTAATGTCAAAAAGTTGTCTTTCACTCGTCTGTTCTTTTTTATACATATGAATCCCGAAATATATTCTACTAATCTCAAGCACTTCAGACTGCTTTAGGTACCGCGGTTGCCCAAGGGTAGGTCGTCGACATCGGGGAACCGTAGCTACCCAGGTCATCGTAGTCCTTGGTGATAGTCTGGTTCTGGAGGACCTTGGTCACGAAAGGGAGCACGCTATTACTAGGATCGGAGTCAGCGTTTAAAGTTGATCGAGACGGATTAAGCCAGGAGAATAGGAGGATAGGAGGGACCACTTACAAGCCGCTCATATCGCAATGACCGCCACCACGAACAGACATCGCAATCTGGTCCGGAACGCCCAACCAGTCGTAAACGAGCTTGGCGGCCGGGTACACAACGACCGCAGTGCCCTTCGAGTTCGTAAACTGGTCACCAGTGCCTTGGTCAATAACAAGGGCGCGCGGCGCAATCGCAGCAGCGATAGTATGCGCGTCATACGGCAGGTTCTCCGCGTGGTTGACGAAGGTTCCTAGAGTACTGTCGGTCCACCACCCCGCGCCGCTCTTGCTGTTCTCGAGCGTCTCGTCCTGTCCGCTCAGCCCGTGGTATCGGTACGGGCCGAGCCCCTGCACGCCGCTGCTCATGGGCATCGTCAGCGTGATGCGCTTGTCGAGTAGCCCGGCCGCGAGGGCTGCTTTACCGAGACGCGAGCACCCGGTTACGCCGACGCGGGCGCTGTCGATTTCGGGGACGGTGGCGTTAAGCGCGTCTAGCACGCGGTGGAAGCCCCAGGCCCATGCCGTGAGGACGCCTGAAAGGGGGTGGGTGTATGCGTTAGTCTTGGGATTTATTCGTAATAAATAAATAGCAGGTATAGGATAGGATAGCTTCAATTCGTACCGATGTCCCGGCCGTTGTAGATATCCCAGAACGCGCCCGTCTTGGAGTTGCTGTCGGCGGCGACGCGCGTGTAGTCGAAGCCGACGACGGCGATGCCGGCTTGCAGGTATGGCTGGTCGGTCATGCCGCCGATGTTGATGACGACGGGGGCGGGCTTCGTCGAGGGTAGTGCTAGCGTGGCGCTGAATTTGCCGGTCTTGCCGCCGGCTGTTACCTCGATGTTTACCGTGTTGCCGCTGCGCGTGGCTTTGACTGTTTCTTGCGAGTGGTCCGGGTAGTAGCCGTATCTACGGACGTGTTATTATAACATGGCACTTCTATTTCCCTCACAGCTAAAGGGGCTTCTTATCCCACAGGAGCGCATTTTTGCCGATGGACTTACTGGTATTCCTGCAGCATCTGAAGGAGCTCAGGCTGGCGGCATTGGTACCATTCCTCGGGTGTCTGGATCCTGTTCTTGCCCTTACCGGCCATCACATCGGACGCGAAGGATGGCTCGCTGCCGCCCTCGCTGTCGGTCGTCGTGTAAGCTAGCGGTAGCCAGGGGTCCGGGAGCGTCGTCTGCTTCGGCAGCTTTTCCCACGTGGGATAGTTTCCCGCCGACGGGACCGGCGCGCATTCTGCTGCTGCCGCCGTGGGCGTTGCGACTGGAGCCGGTGCAGTTGGGATAGCCGCTCCTAACCACGGGAGGGTCACTGCACCAATGATGGCGGCGCGCTTAGGGGAGGGCATGCTGGGCAATGGACCTTCGGTAATGGGCTCAGGTAGAATAAGTTGTAGGATCGAGAGCGCGGATTATGTCGAGGGCTCGTGGAGGCGACGAAGGACTAATATATGATCCTACACGCGGTAGCAGTGAGGTCACATCGGCTTGCCCCGGAACTTGGGCCTCCTTGCCGTACATCGATATTGCCGCTACCCCGAGACAACTAACCGGGTATTTCTGGTAGCATACCTAGTTAACTTATCCTCGAGGCTCATTGTCCAGGTGCAATAGTATGTTTTTATATAAACACCATTTTCCTCTTCTCTCTTTCTCCTGCTTACACTAGTCTTCCGACCATCTCCACACTACTGCGCCTTGTAGTTCACCATTTTTCCATATCGGATTTGGCATTCTCTGGCAATTAGTTTGACGGAGATGGTTGAGATGGGAAGGCTACGGGCTAGGATCTTTGAGGGGCTAGACCCTCCAGGGTGATTTCGAGACTTTAGCCGGCAAGTATAAACACAGCTCACCACTACCCCAAGGTATGGTCGGATTGATGCGGAGAAGCTATTTTTATCGGACTAGTGGTTATTGTGTATATTTTCAACCGAAGCGGTATACTACCTAATCTCATTCACCAGCGAAGTCCAGTACGGCCGTCGCCCCACATTTTCAGTATACAGCTGTTGTAAAATCTTTGCAGTATTAGTACCGCCTTTGTGTTACCTGCGGCACTTATACGAAAGGCGTGGAAATAATAAGTACAAGATATCTATCCGGAAGTGGCTATTTTTGGTCCGTTGTTAAGAACGAGGAATAACGGAGGTTGACCGATCCATCCCGGCCCCCACTTCGTTCCATCTTCCGTTCCCGTCCGGAAGTCTCCGGCACCGGATAATACATGTGTACCTACCTACATATCTATACTACCTCCTAAACATATACTACAACTCGTTTTATTAGTAATAGTAGGATTTCTCTCGCGTTATTACCATACACGGTTTGACACCTAGCATCGCCTAATGTATAATACGTAAATGTTCAAAAGTGAACGCGGGTTTAAAATCCGACAACAGATAAACACACGACGAAGAAAAGCCAAGTAAAAGGCCACGTCAACGCCCACGTAAGATATATGATTCCAACTTGCTATTAAATCATATAAAACTTTTAAAGCGCCTTAATTCCGTTATATACTATCGAGATCTACCTACCCGCTTTTTCTCCCGTTCTAAATTCCTACTTGCTGTGTGCCACCTCCCTTCCTACCTACCTACCCTTGATGTAAGCCAAAGGTAGGTATATAAGCTGTTTTAACACGTAGAACTAGCACGTACGACCATAGGATCTGGAAAATTCGGGATCCCGTCCGCTCTCCCCTAGACAAGCCGGATACCGCCGGATTAGTAGTTGGGTCGGTGACGACCAGCGAATCCCCGGTGTTGTACGTTTTTTTTTGCGATCTTTTTCTTTTTTTTTTTCGCCTCCCTTCCGTATTTATTCCCAACCCATGTTATTATGCATGCTTTTTAGATCGGGCATGTCGGAATCAAGTTATTGGACTGTGGCTAGTGGTGTGAGAGCTACGAGGGTGAGTGTGTAGTGTTGATTTGATGAGCGCGAAACTGGACGTGTAGTTTAATGGACTATGGTAACATATATCTAAGCCCTTGGGATTATTCTTATTCAGTTAGGTTCATAAAAGGGTTGCCTTAATTCAATTCAACGTTGTATGGATGTGTGGCTGAGGTACCTTGTTCAATTAGTTGCCATATCCTGCTGTATTTACGAATGACCCTTGGCCTATGATATTCACTTGCTTTATTTAGGAAATATGGACAATAGAATACCTAGGATTCTGATGTCGCTTATAGTAAGGCATGTAATTTATTAGGTAGTAGCTAATGGAATCAAGAGAATCCGTAATGCTTTAAAATACATAAACCAACAATGGGGGTAACAGGGGGGAAAGGGGATGGTTAAAAAAAAGGGGTACGTATCAATTTCCATCTCCTTCAATAATCGTATATACTGGTTGTACATGAGAGAACCTAAGTACTAAGCAAAGTTTTGCCAATCAACTAATACATCATGACCATAAGGAACCCCAAGTATCAGGCATAATCCACCATCCTCATCGCTGCTATTATTTAGGCAAGAACAATAGCATCCGTGATGGCGGCAACGCGGCGTATGCACCCCTTATCCCCTATAAAACACCAACGCTGCTGCTAAAATGCAACTATCACCAACCTTATCGTCGCCGTATCTGAGCAACACCCCTTGTGATTCCTGGAATAGGGACAATATTGTCGATTATTAAGATTAGGATTAGTATTCGGCTAATGATTACCTATGTGCTCTGCAGGTAGTAAGTACCCAAATAATTCCCCGAGTCACCATAGCTACGAGATCCACACCATCAACACCCCCCAACACTGCTCGTACGCAGAAAACACCATCCAGCACCTGGCAACAACGGCAGAACACTCCCCTCACCGCCCCCAGCAGAAAATATATAAACAAGTCCCTTCCCCCCAAGTTTCCAATTCCTTTCCTTCTCTTCCCCATGCCTCCCCGGCCCGCAGCCTTTCCTTTATTTCTTTTGTTTGTTTTTTCCAGCCCCTTTTGGGGTTTCTGCTGCGCAGTACCCGCACACGCGGGGAACCGACAAGTGTGTGCGCCGGTCGATTTTTGGAAACGCCTATTTTCACAATTCCACCGCACGTCTGTCGTGCGGCAATTTTTGGAAACACAAGCACCCCTTGGGTGAGTCGCAGACGCACATCTTTTTTTCGTTGATTCCGCGGCCTGGTGCCGTGAGTCGAGGAAGAACTTTGTCTGGTATGAGGGAATACGATGGGATGTGCCAGGTGGGTATGGTAAAGGAGGGTCTGTTACCTACATGTATGTAATGTTTATGGATTTGAAGGTAAAATAAACTATTTGGAGGTTTTCAACAATTGGATTTAATGCAAGGTAAATGTTTCGGAGGCTGTGATCGCAAAACGATGGTATTGTTATGTAGGTACGTGGCTACTATGTTCTGGAACTTCGCGATGGAGCTTTAGAAATAAGTTAAAACAACGTTATGTCATAAAATAGGTAAACGCTTTTAACTATTTAAATAACTTAATTAAAACTTAAAATTATATATATATTTAAGGTATAAAACTTTAATATATAAATAAAAATATAAAAAATTATAAATAATTAAATTATTTTTAAATTATATAAAGTTAATTAATTTAATATATTTTTTTAAATAAAATTATTAAATAAATTTAATTAAATTAATTTTAAATAATTTTTTTAATTTAATTTTATAAATTTAATATTTTAAAATAATTTTTTTTTAATTAAGTTTTTTCGTTTATTTAAAATATTTCGTTTTTTTTAAATTTTTTTATTTAAAATTTTAATTATTTTTTTATTTAATAATTTTTTAATATTTATTAAATTAATTTAATTTTAAAATTTTTTAAATTTATTTTTATTTAATATTTTAATTAAGTTATTAATTATTATATTTTTAAATTTAATATAATTAACGTTAATATATTTTTTT